ATAAAGCAACAGGAGCAGTTTAAACAGCAGGAGTCAGACACATTAGTAGACTTTTCAAAAGACATTGCCATTTCCTTCTATGTTCTGCCATGTCTTACCACCACTCCCTACATTTGTTTGTTCTTTATCTTTTATTTGGTTACCTACTCAGGCTCTGCTTTACACACGCAGCCATGGATCACTCTGCTAAAGATTAAAAACAGATCACTAAACAAATAGTGCACTAAACAAATTAGCTCCTTCCAAGGCAAGAGGGAATAACAAAAATACGTAAAACTACTGAAGATGAAGCTGATCTCTAATAGCAATTTAAACATAATACTATTAATAAGCACGATTCATAAGCAATAACCATCATAGTATTACAGGATGTTAAAATTATGCATATATATGTACATAAACAGATTGTTTTACATTTATTAAAAATTGATGCTTTTTTAAAGGCCACATTTAAACTCAATAAAGGAACAGATTTCTACACAGAAATACCAGAACACCATTCTCCATATCTCTCCTAAAGCAGATAATATTGGCTGGATTCCATTAGTAGCTACAGCAAAGATGAATTTCCCTGAAAACATGTCTTGGGACTGAGATCTAAGATCTACCTGCCACAAAGACTTAACACATGATATGAAATGATAGTTTGCTTTACTAGGGAATAAAATCCTGAAAATCCAATTCAACTACAAAAATATTTCAACATACGGGTATTTCAAATAGTCATTTGAGGACAAAAAACCCCAAAGAATAAAGATTCCATAAGGGGGTGGGAAGTCACATCTATTAGTAAAGAACATGAATGACAAAAGTCACCTCCACAAACTCTGTCATCTGACCAACAAAGTCCAAAGAAATCAAAACAAAAATTTACCAGGAAATTAATGAGGAAACTGGTCAAAGAATCCAAGCTCCAAGGGCAAGCTGAACAAGTCAAAGAGATAACAGCAGCACAGATAATTCTATAACGTTCTCACTGACTGCAGAGGTGCACCTTCAAGAAAAAAAGCCATTTACATTGTCTCAGCACTGAATATCAATACTTACTTCATTGGTAACTTAACACGAGGCTTGAAGTAGGGTTCCTTTTGGTCAGCCAGGAAGATCACCAACTCATTTCCTGGGGAAGCAAGTGAGATGATGAATAATGGAGGAAGATTGTAAATGGCTTATATACAAACCCAGCATGTAAACAAATATGCCACAGATACCCATTCCACACAGCAGCAAAAAATTTGAAGGAGTTCCTATACCAATACTTGCTCCTCATTCAAAAAGAAGCAAGAGGAGCACTTCTTCAACATGACCTATGAAGCCAACTGCATCTCAAAGGAATGTTAATATCAAGAACCTTCTGTAGTGATGAAAGCCCTTCTTAAGGGGTTTAGTGTTAGAACTTTCTCTCTGCTATTGCTATAACATTGCTTAAAATAAAACTTCCTGTAATGAGTTAAGAAACATTACATGTGGAAAAGTAATAGGCACCAGCTCCACACAAATAATTAAAGCTTTAAAGCTACTTTTAATACTTTCTCTGATGTAGCAGGATCTGATACTGCTTCCCAAGTCAGCTGCCAAAAGCACTTTCAGTGAAACTCAGAAGCTACTTGGTTCCCTGCAGCATTTCCTCATTTAGAGTCAACAATACAAGCAATTATCATTTCATTATTTCTGGAAGATCTAAATAAAAGCCCATATTTTATGTTGCAGAAATAATTGAAATTGGGGGAAGAAAAAGAAGAATTTTAAACTGAATGATGAAATAAAATTTTTCAGTCAGTAAACCGCACTACAAATGCTTTTACTTCTGCAACTAAAACAATAGTTCATAGCAAAACAATTGTATTTTTTCTTTCTTCTCTTCACACCTGTAGCATCCCAAACTGCAAGAACTGGGCTGCCAATCAAAAATAATTCTATGGCTCCAAACTTGAGCTACCACAGCATTTTTCAAGAGCATCGTTCTCTGGCAAAGTTCACAGCTGCGAAATAGGAGAATACAAGCTACCTCACTATGAAAGAAAAAAGGTAACTGCCATAAACCTATTTAGGAGAAGGAGGATACACCAACAAATGAGTAAATGAAAACAAACCCGTTCAGAAAGGACGGGGGGGATCAGCACAGTCCCATCTGGCAAGTTAGTGATGCTCGAGCTGCACTACCCTCCCAGCTGAGTGAGGGAGTTGGCACACAGCCAAGTGCAGAAGCCTGCTGGCTGCTCAGCCTTGGATTATAAACCTGGGGGCTGGCTGCTAAAACTTGTAGTTCCCATTTCACACTACAGACTCTCACCTGCCTTTTTATCATCTATTTGGTAAAGTAATGATGAAGATGGAGAAGTAAATGTGTTTTTACACATACCAGGTTCCAAGTCATTTGTACCACTGAGAAATGAGATTTTGTGATCACTAAAGATAGATTTATGAAAGTTTCAGCACAATGCTCATCAAGAGCCAAAACAAACTAACTACTGGAAACTATTAGCTGAACAGAAAACGGAATCACTACAGCACTACATCAACCCACGGTGCACACATCCTAGATGCCGTTTGCAGTTCTGTATTCTTTCTGAGATGAGAGGACAAGAAGAAAGGAAAAAAGTACATTAGAGGGTGTGAAAAACAAGAACAGTTTCAATACAAACAGCAATTACAGAGATTAGAGGTCTTCAGGCTGAATATCTCTGTGAGAATCCCACAGAAGTTTTCAAAATTCCCTAATGAAATGCAGGAGGTGAATAGGGGAATAATCACTCATTCCCTGTACTACTAGAAGAGGCATCAAAAATAACTAGAATGTGGTAGGTTGAACAAGTGAACAGCATGAGCTTCCCCACTTATCCTTGTTTCATGCATAGCCTTATAAAACAGGTAAGCATATGCACAATTCCATTTATTTGTATATTTCTAGTTTCAAAAAGTGACTAAAACCTGTGTCCGCTGGTAACTTTAATTGGTCTTGCAGTGAGATACTTTTGGATTTAGATTACTTCTTATGTTCAGTAAGTTTGCTCTCCCTTACAAAGCTGTGAGTACAACCTGATTTTCATTTATGTATCTTAGCATATGGAACATTACTCTCCTTCAGCTGAAGTAATGCAAGGTCAGAACAGTAACATATATCCAGAAAAAAGGCTCAAGATATCATCCCTATTTCCTTATTAAGGGTCACAATTATTAGGACTGGGCTGCTTTACCACATCCCTGTTCCTCAAAGTCCAGTACTATCTCCAACGCTCATTTCCTCACACTATTTACAACTGGCTGCCGTTTATTCTACTATTTAGAATCCTACTGTTTAGAACTATTATCTTTTGTTTTTAAGGTATTCTGTAAGTTTTCCAATTTACTTTTTGTCAAGACTTAAATTATGAAAAATAATTTTTTCAAGTAGGTTATTTCAGGCTGACTTTTACAGTAAGTGTTACATAGGAAAGTGACCTATCAAGTGCTGCTGTGCAGACACAAAGAAACCACGAATCTTATTTCTAAAACTTATAACTATTCACATTTTTATATGCATCCATCTGAAAGATAAGAAAGTAAAAATTAAATCTCCTATCATGGACATTTTTTTCAGTAGATGAGTCAGTGGAGCATTTTCAGGGAGCCATACACTTCAATAACTCCACTAGATGGGAAAGTCACTCATGCTTTACCAAAGCTACTTAGAGAAATATTTCTGACGTTGAAGGAATAAAAAAGGTGAATCAGAGAATAAATTTAGTATCTTAACTTGTTGCTTCAGGCAAGTAAGATAATCCAAGACTAATGTCTGCAAAGAACAGTGACCACTGAAAATAAGCTCTGATTCGGGGTCTCACCGTATGTGAAGCCTAAACAGAAACTCATGGCAGGTGACTTGGGGCTGTGCGGAACAAATTTCTCTACCCTGCCACTTTAACATGATGTTCAAGGTAGGATAACGTGCAATTTATCCTCCTCACATCTGTGAAATGTTTATCTGTGTTTCCCAAAATATTATGAAAGTAGGAGTGAAAAACCAATTTGCGACCACGCTAGAGGAGAAAATATATAAATTATTTCAGAACCATAAATTCAACTTTAAAGAAAAGCATGTCTTGCTCTATACGAACCCATATTTTAGGGCAATTTGAAAACACCTTTTTTTCCACACAGGAATTATGTCAGGAGCAAAGCAAACGTCAACTTCATCGTGCAAACACCGGTGCGACGGCCCTCGGCAACGCCGCGAGCAGCCCCCGGCACCCAGGCCGTGCTGTGGGAGAGAACGAGCAGCCCGTGACCCACAGACCCCGCGGGACCGCAGGGATCCCCGAGCCCATCTCCCTGCTCCTCGCGGGACAGCTCCCACCGGGAAAGCCTCTCCGTACCCGCCGGGAACCGAGACCGCCGCTGTCACACAGGCACCCGGTGCCTCTCCCCGAGCTACCAGGGGGCCGAGGCGGGAGGGCGGCGGCATCGCGGGGCTGCCCGGGAGGGGACGAGGAGCACTCCGGACACCGGCAGGGACCGCAGGCGCTCCCGGCCCCGCGCACTCACCGCCGCGCAGCACGAACAGGTCCGTCTGCTTGTCCGAGTTGAAGTCTCCGAAGGCCGCCAGCGTTCCGTGAGCCTCGGGCCCGAAGAGCTGCGCCGTGACATTCTGCAGGGCGCGGGCGGGCCCCGCCAGGGCCAGCAGGGCCAGCGCCGGGACCACCACGGGGACCAGCAGAGGGGCCAGCGGCGGGCACGGCCCGCGGGCCACCATCGCGCTCGGCCTCGCCCCGCCCGCGCTCTGACGGCGGCGGGGGCGGGCCCGGCCCTGCCGGCCCGCGGTTTGCGGCAGCGCCGGCGGAGCCTGCGCGAGCCGCTTTACGGCGCGATCCAGGGGCGATCCGGGGAAATCCCGCCCGGCCGTCCCGGACCGACCGTCGGGACCTCGCCGGGATGGCGGCGGCAGCGGCTTCTCACATGGCCGATGTGAGCTGGAAGATGCTGGAGCTGCGCGCCCGCTCCAAGCGCTCAGGTCTGACCTCTTGGCTCGCCCGGGAGGAGCTGCGCGGGTCCCGCTCACTCCCGCACTCCTGCCCCCGCTCTCGGCCCATCCCGGGTTGTATTTGCCCGTCCCGTCCCAGGCTGTTTGCCCCTCCCGGCTGTGAGAGGGGCACCTGGAACACCCAGGTGTTCCCGGGATACATGCCCGTGTCCTTGGCGGGGCACAGCCCCGGGTGCTGCTCAGGTGTCACTCGCCCCCACGGCTGCACGGGCAGCTGCTCGGGGGAGTGTTTATTACTACAGTTGTATAAAGCCGTCGAACAGATGAAGTACTTAGGCAAAAAAAAAAAAAAGTACTAGTTTTTGCCAGCTTTCCCTTGGATAAAGGTAACTTTTTTATGGCTTGAGGATTTCTTGTTCTGAACTTCGGCTACGTGGCAGCTCCATTCTGACCTAAATGAAAGGGCAATGTTTACCGAGTTGGCTTGAATTTCCAAAGTTAAAAAAAATCGGTTTTTAAATTGCTTTTTCGAAATAAAAAGTCTTAGTAGGGCTTTAATTGTTCTAATGGAAACAGTTTTCCAGAAGAACCCTGGGGGGTTTATTTATATACCATACATGCTTGTAAAACTCAGTTGTTATTTACTTACCTGCATGTTTGGTTGTTTTTGTTGTGTTAATGACTGATCAGATAGTGCGAAAAGAAAATGAGGCTTTTGGGGTCTCTAAAGGATTGTTTAAAGACTGGTCTGATTCACTTGGCCTTAAAAGTTCAATGTATGTATAGTATTGATTTGCAAGTTCCATGATTAAGACGGTCCACTAAAAGAGTTTTTACGTTGTGGCCGATGATGATTATTAACAGAGTGCTGTTATCTGAAAGCTGATTGACAAATGTAGCCATAGAGCTTTACAAAATCAAGCCTGGGACCTGCATGTCTGGAGTGTGTGAATCCCGAGCCCCACAGCAGCACACGAACTTTGGGGTTCCCCCTGCAGGCTCAGGCCCTGTGGCTGCGGAAAGCATTTGGGTGGTTTTAAATGCTTGAGTCTTAATTGCTGCTGCAGCGACTTTGTTGTTAAATGTATAAAAAAGTGGCTTTTGTGCAGTGACAGATTATTGTCGTTCCTTCTTTCCCTGTTCATAGAAATTTGTCTAGAGATTTGTTCACAGAGCTTTATATAATAACTGAAGAAACTTAGTCAAGAAATAAACATTATTTTAGTTGAAAAGTTTTTCTAATAATAGAGTTGATTTAAAAATCAAATTTTATGTATAATCTTTCAGGTAACGTTCATATCTAAAACTAAAAATCACGTTCTTGTTTTTCAAGTTTACTGCTGTATCTTTATAAGTATGTTGAAATTTATGTAAACTTCAGAGCTCTTCTATTTCCTTTCTGGCCCTGTCAGAAGGAGTCATAGTCGGGATAATCATAGAAAATGACTGAAACTCCCCCAGTTATGTGGTTTGGCTGAGGCCTGTGCTGGAGAGTCCCAGCTCACAAACAGCACTGTTTTGTTTGGCATTATTATTTTCCAAGTATGATGCTTGGATAAGATATAGTAAAGGTGGAGTACCTGAACTGCACGAATGACTCATGTTTTATAGCCAACAACAGTGTATCATTTAAGACCCAATCCTGTAGGGGGTAATCCATATCTTCATGTTTATGTATATTAAATTATGAATTACGTTTTTGCCAGTAAAGCCAAATTTTATTGAGAATTTTTTATTTTTCTTCCTTGAACAATAAAATACTGTTTCATTTGTTAGCAACAAATTATTAGGATCCTCTGATTAGGACTAGATTATAAAGATATTCAGCAGTTGACCAGTCTGAACTCCCTGAAATTTTAGTTGCTTTAAAAAATGTAAACTTCTTTAAAAATTTGGAAAAACTTGTAATCATAATTACAAACACTGTTTTCTTTTTGTACATTCCAAAGTGGAAGATGTTTTACTTTAAATAACTGAGATATTAAGTGCCATAAGTAATATATATGACTGCAAGAAACATCCTGGTGTAGATTTCACATGGGATAAAAGCAGCACTATGCACAAGCAGAGCTTTAGCTCTCTGCACTCACTATTACTTAACACTTTTGTATGCACCAGTTAAATCATTGTTTTTGTTTAATCTTGAAATAGATTTTATTCATCACCTCTTGATGTTAGTAGCGAATTTCCTATTAAATAACAAACCTAATGACAAATATCCAAAAGATGCACTTTTTGTAGACTGTGTCCTTTTACTCAAATAAGTTTTGTGGAAGCAAAAGCATAATAAAGCCAAGAGGTCAGTGTAGAAGAAGGAAACATAAGATGAAATGAAACTTTGTGCTGTGCACTCTGTCATGTTAATAACTCCACTAACATTGCTTTCACTTAATTTAATGCTGGTTGCCTTTAACATTTACTAAACAGTTTTGAAAATTACTGTAGCTTAGCCTGAGACGTTTGTGATTAGCTGCACCACTTTGAAATGGCCAATTTGGATGATGACAGAGCCTTCTCTGCGCATGCTTTTTTAAACTTTGGTAAGTGTGCAGTTCTGTGTTTTGTTTTTGTTTGTGGCTATTTAATTCAACAAAAAATAATTGTGTGTGTTGTGTTTCGTGCAATGTTTTATGCTAGCAGATTTTTAGCACTGTACAGTAGAACTTAAAAATTTGAACTCTTTCAGTGAAAATTTCTGAAAATTGGAATCTACTTAGATTGAAATCTACTATCAAATCTTCCTGTTTTGTATTCCTGTCAGTATCTCTGTGTAATAATCTCTGAACTGAAATTTCTCTTTTAAGATGATGGTCATGTGAAAGATGCCCTAAGAATGGTGTTTAGAATTGGGTTCTAAAAAAACCCAGTGTGACTAGTTTAGAGCTAAGCAATAAGATTTCCAGTAAGTCAGTAATTGTTACAAATCTTGACTTTTGAAATTAAGTGGAAGCAAAATAAAGCCCCCGGCACAGCTTCTCCTCAGGTACAACAGAAACTACAGTCACAGGGCAGTTGTCAAGGCCATTGCTCTGTATTTTGAAAGGAGTTTGACAGGGGACAGATGTATCCATATGTTAAACTAGTTGATATGAGAAGGCTGTATAGGACTCTTGTGCAGTCCTTGTTGAAATACAGAAGCATTTCAAGTGCTAGTGAGGGTAACCAGGAAAGGGGATTTCAGCTCTCTTGCCACACTGATTCACTCGAACTTCCCTGCCCTGCCTGTGCCATTTCTGTTTCTCCTCTCTTAACCTCAAAGAACATGTCAAGTGTTGACATTGTAATAAAAATAATTACTCTTTCCTAATTATTGTATTGACACTTGATGTTTCTGTTGTTATGATGCAAAATAAACATTTTTAGTAGTTTTTAGAGCTATTGTTTTGAGTTCACAGAAATGGCAGTGCCTGCCTTGAATATCTTGAATGATTTCCTGCCTTGCTTGTAGCATTTACAAGGCTTGTGTAGTAGACTTTAGCATTTTGGTTATATGAAGCTCCTGTGTACTGGCACAATGGTCAGTATTTTACTTCTGGTGTTCAGTAGCTTCCGTGTGTTGTTAGTTACTGTAAATCCTGAAATCAGTAATTTCCATTAAGTATAATATACTGTAGAGAGAAATAACTTCAGATGATTAGGAAATAGAGAAGGGACAAAATAAATTGGGGCATATTTTTTTTCTTTTTCCTCTCTGGTGACCAGTAACAGGACCCACGGGAATGTGTCAGGGGAGGTTTGGTTGGATCTCAGGAAAAGGTTCTTCCCCCAGAGGGTGGTCGAGCACTGACCAGGCTCCCCAGGGCAGTGGTCATGGCCCCAAGGCTGCCAGAGCTCAAGGAGCATTTGGGCAATGCTCTCAGGACAGGGTGGGATTGCTGGGGTTGTCCTGTGCAGGGCCAGGAGCTGGACTTCAGTGATCCTTGTGGGTCCCCTGCAAGTCAGGATATTCTCTGATTCTATGAAATACTAATTGAATTACATGTACAGTCTAACACATGATTTTTTTTTTTTGGATAAATGATAGTTTAAAAGCTTTGTCACTTCAATGCTATTTAAATGCTATTACAAGCTTTTACTCATTTTTACCTGTATTGTTATCATCAGTCAACCTAGGTAGCAATTTGTACCTTGTGCTTACTCCTACTGTCTATTCAGGTAGAAGAATTCTTTGATACATTTTGCATCTTCCTCTCCAAGCCCTTCTCCTTGTGTTTCCTTACCCTGTTTGGAAGGGTTGTCAGGATGTCATCTACTCCAGCCTCTTACTCAAAGCAGGGTCAGCTATGAGATCATAGTTTCTCCTGTATGTAGTGATTAAAAATCCCTGTGTGATACCATTTCTTAAACTTTGTTGTGAGAAGAAATAAAATCCTCTTTGGTTCCAATGGCTTCTGTAATGTGAATATTTATTGCCCATACTAATGTTGGGTAATGAGGGTTACAGTGATCAGAGATCCAGAACTTTTTACTGTCTCAAGTGTTGGATTACATCCAGAACTATTGTCACATTAGAGGCTGTGGTCAGTTTAATTCTCATCAAATCTAGAAAGAAATCTTGTATTCTCAGGTTTTTTTCTTTTGGCCTGTCCTGATTTAATGATGCAAATTAACATTTTCTTTTATTCTTCTGGCATGTGAAATATTGGAAATAATGTTCTTGCCATGTTACTTCCATTTGTTTGTGATTAAACTTCAGGGCAGTGTTTGTTTGTTTTAATTCTGTACTTTGAAAAATTTGAATAAACCCTCCTCGTTGAAATATACGTATCTTTATCCATAGGCTTGGTCCAGAATTCCATTCTTATGTTTCATTTTCTTTAGTATCCCCAATTACTGCCATTTTCAAGAATGTGTGGGTGTTCAAAGCTTCTGTGTATACAAATTTGGGAGCAGGGTTGTTTAAAAGCCGTGTTGGCCACAGCTTCTAAATCTAAACACCTAGACAGTTTAAAGCTCTTCCCTGAAGAGCAATTAATGCTAATCTCAAGTATAAATGGAATAAAAATGAGGCGGATGGGGAAATACTTTAACATCAGGATGACATAATATTTTCAGCCTCCAGAGGTTGTATATACATAGATATTTACCCTGCTAATTGCCTACCTTGGAGAGCTTTCCTTAACTTCCTTCAGTTTTATATTCTACTTAGAAGAGATAATTAAATTGTAATTTTTTTCCCCTGGAATTGTACATTTCAATTTCATCTACTGGATAAGGTTTTCTTATACTTTTGCTGTCTTAACTAAGTCAGAAATACCTTGTCTGTTTATTACTTTAGTTCTGCACTAGTATTTGATGTGTTTATTATCAGCTACTGGGCTACTTGATATTTCGTCCTGTTCCCTAATACTTTGAAAGGAAGTTTCTGTCCTTTTTAGTAATTCTTCAACTTGAAGATTGGTGAAATCATATTACTCTGGAAACTCTAAATGGTAGGAAATAAAAGAGGATTAATTTTCATTCAGAATATGGATATAGGGTATTTAGTCAGTGCAGTATCTGAAGACAGACAGGGATTTAATTGGACTTGCGATAAAGATTTTTAGTGTTCTCTTAGCAGATGTGAAATATATTAGTGCAGGAAGCAACACTTTAATTTCCTATCAGGTTTTTCCCTGATTTTGAAGTAGGAACTGCCTTGCAGCAATCCACGTGTCGTGTAAGGAAATAATGGGCACACTCCATTCGTTGTGGAAGAAGAGCTGAACTCCCACATACCCCATTTAAATGTTGGCTGGGGTTGTTACACTGCTAGACAGCTGAGCAAATACTAAATCAACAAAATAGGGTTTTTGTTACTTCCTAGTATATGTACTTATTTACCTACAATAAACCCCACACTGTATGGTTACAATGAAGTGATTTATTTATGAAAAACAGTATTTAAAGTTAATGTGCTCATTCTGTTTCTTCCGAATGCTAACACACAACCCCAGACCTCCAGGGTACTATTTGCATATGTCATTCTGTTATGTTTAGAGGGTTGCAGTCTTGCTTTTGTCTTTTTTTTTTTTTTTCAGTTTGGAAACCTATTTTAAATATGTAATTGGAAATAGCTTTCTATGGCATGTTTTAGTCTTGCTGAAATGAAGTGTTAAATAGATTTGGGAAGACTGTAGATGGGCTTTTTTTAGCTGTCTTAAAAATAGCTTGGACTTTGTTATGGGCTCACTCCAAACCACAAGGAAGGAGCAACTCCATGTTTGCTGCTCCTTGCTTTTGATTAGGTTGTGATAGCAATGAAACATAATTTACCTCGTGATTTCTCTAGGAGAATGCTGTAGACATCCAAGCAAAACATAAACTATATATAGGTGCTTATGGGGAATTAATGAAGAAGATGTGGAAAACTTTGATTTAAACAAGTTCTCCTACTTATAGTAGGAGTTATTTTAAGGAATACTTCCAAGGAATAAAACTATTTTTTTGGTCAAATTTCTCGAACTAGGAATTTATTTTACCTTTTTATTTCATCAACAGTCTACTCTGGCTGTTTTAGTATGTTTCTGTTAGTAAAGTTTCAAAAATCTAAAATAATATAATTCATAGATGGTGGTGCTTTGACGTTTTCGTGCTCTTTTTTCTGCTCAATCTTCTTTCTGCTTAAAGTTGAAGTCTTTGAATGCTCTGAAATAGAAAAATATTCTTTTTGTTCTTGATAACATTATTTTGTTTCTCTGTTGGCCACAGAGGGTCACAGATTGTCTGGTAAGTATGTAAATTAGAACAATTTTATTTTAGGAACTTTTGACTTGTGTATATGTGGGTGTGCTTGTGAATACTCAGCTGTGTTTCCTGGTGCAATACTGGGATTAACAGTCTGCAAGTGGAAGGATGGTGTACTATGCATGTGTTACACAGTTAACAAATCTAAGAGAATCTTTATTTTGCCTTTGAAAATCTATTAAGTGAATATTTCTCATAAATTTGCTACTTTTTATGCAGTAAGTGACTTCCTGAAGATTTTTTTCTTTGTGTATTCTGTCCTACTTTCACTGAATTGCCTTATAAAATTACAGTTACACAGGTCACTGTATTATGTGCTTTTGCAAGATAACTGAATTAATAGTATAACACCATAAATTATGAATCTCCTCATGGGTATGGATTCATAGGCAAAAAGAAATAGAAAAATAAAATTGCTTTGAAAAATGGATTTAAACTGCTTCAGAATGTTGATTTTTTTTTTTTTTTAGTTGTTTTTAGCAGTAGATGTGAAAGATGTGATATATTAGAAGTTTCTCTTTTCCATTACTGAACAATTTAATTTTTTTTTTACTTTGTTCCTTTAGGCAGCTTTAATAAACTGGGCTTTCTGTTCTTCCCTCTCAGACCCTTCCCCACATGGATGTGTTGTTTGTAACTCTCCCAGTGAGGAAGGGAAAGGCTGTAGGGGAAGCTCAGATGTGTTGGGAAGCATCACCAGAGCATCCATCCACAGCAGACCCACAGGAGTCTGCTCAGAGAGGGGTGCATTTTTTTTAAACTCCTATGATTGCAAAGCAAAAGCAAATACTAACTTGGAGGTGAGGTTTGAGTTCCTGAGTGGCAAAAGACATTTTCTTGTGTCCCCTCCAAAGGATTTTATTCCTACAGCTCCTGTCTCTGCACACATTCACAGAATCAATTAGGTTGAAAAAGACCTCTAAGACCATCAAGTCCAGCCTTTGACCAAACACCACCTTGTCACTAGACCATGGCACTGAGTGCCACATCCAGTTGTTTCTTGAACACTTTTTCATTTCTTTTTCTTCATTTCATTTGGATGAGAGTCCTGAATATGGACAATCTCCTGTCTAATACTTGGGTATGTGCTGGGATTTCCAAAAAGCCAGTGTGAATAGAGCACTCAGCTGTGTCCTGCCAGAAATGCTTGGCTGGCTGGGCTTCCCTGGCAGTGCATTCCCTGAGCTTTTCAGAAGGGCAGCACGCAGTCCGGAAAGGGAAAATTCTCACTCTTCCTCTTAGTACATGGCTCTGTGGGAGACCTTGCCATCCAGAACACTGAATAAAGCCCAAGGGATGATGGAGGGGGAGCAGTATGTTACTCTTAAATTAGTAGTTGGAAATGGTTCACCACAGTAATTTTTAATAGCTAGGTCATTTCAGATATCAGGAAAACTGACTTCTTGGGTGTAAATGGGGAAGCAATCAATATGTGGGACACTGAGAAGGAAAGATGTGGATTTGATAGCATTGTATTTCTCTGCAATATAGGTAATTTGGGGACTTTATCTGTTGGATGGGTTGTTTAAGCATTGTTAGTAGGTGGGAACAAGCCAACCCTTTTTGTCATTCAAAATATGAGATCAGCTGGGATAACTGTGGGGGTGGGTGCAAACGAGGTTGGATTAGGTAAAGTGTTGATGGTCTTGTACATGTTCACTATTTTAGAGGGCAGGTAGGGAAATAATAGCTAAATTTAGTCCACTTTTGTTCCTCTTCCTTATGTTTATCTACATATTGTTAGGAATTTTGTCTGTAGTGTACTTAAGTTCTAAGCAAATGTTCCTATAAAATTCTTAGCATTTAATAGCTATCTTTCATAATTAACTATACATTTATGTGGCACTTGCTGTAGCTGAGTATCAACAGGGCATTAGAGATCCAGATGAAGGTCTGATTTGTGTAGACAGGTACTGTAGGAAAAAATGTGTATAGAAATCTATTCCCTGAGATTGTAGAGATAACAACTTTTTTTGTTTCCATTGAAATGTGATAAATTGTGCTTTTGGATAACATGCAGGAAAAATACCATGTTGTACTAATTCTTAGCAATAGTAGAATTATGAAACTAAATCTGATCTTGATTGTGTTTTGTTTTTTCTTCTTCTTTTAGGTTCAATTTATGAGCCACTTAAAAGTATTAACCTTCTAAAGCCAGAGGGGGAAAGTCTATGGGATAAATTAAATCATTACTATAGAATTGGTAAGTTAATAGTAGTTCTACCATGAAAGATTTTCAGTGTAACTCACTAAAATATTTACAGTTGTGCTTATGAAAGTCATCAGCTTTGTCTTAAAATAATATCAGGAGTCCTTAATAAGGATTTTTATTTACTGAGAGGTAAAGGGATAAAATTCCTCATGAGATTCCTGTGCTAATGTAATGTGTGTATCTTGGATATTTCATACACTGCTTGAAGAATCATGAGTGGCAAATAGTGTTCAAAATGATGGCATTTGTCAGATTGCAAATACATTCTGAGTTGCACGTGATGGCCTTGGATGGGGATGGACAAAGGTTTTCTGTAAGAGGTTCTTTTTTGTTCTTAGTGGTGCCATAATGTGTTTTGTGCTGAAATTTTATTTGTTAGCTAACTTACTTTAAATCAACTTCAGTGTTTTTTCTTTTCATTATGAGGTTATTTTAAGCCAAAACTGTTAAAGAAGCAATGATTTGTTTTGATTGTTTTTGGTTTTAGGAGGTTTGTGTTATAATGAAGTCCTACCTGTATTCTAAAATGAAGGTTTTTTTAATGGCCGTGCAATTGAGTATTTAAAATTTAAATTTTCCTCAGGCAAGAGTATAGAATAGTGGACAGTCTTGCCATCCTTTTAAAAATGTGGGATGAGATTCCCTTCCTTTAGCTCAGTGTGAGTTGTACCCAGTCTATCCATACATGTGCTGCTTTTTGTAGGTGCATTGCTTTTAGCTTTCTTACAGAGATGACTGTTCGATTTGGCAGCAGCAAATGTGTGGTAGTGCTTGCTATTTATCTGTCAGGCACTTATGCTGCTGCCAGAGTAAAAAGTTACTATTGAATTTATACTTCATTGTAGAATAATTTTTTTTACAAGGTATCAAGGCACTAAAGAATATAATTCGAAAAGCCATAAAACATTGTAATTTTAATTTAGAATACTTAATTTCTAATACATACATAAAGAGGCTTTTTTAAAATAAATGCTTGATAATAATCTGGGAAAAACACCCCCTGCTTTCCTGTCTTATACTGGACAGATTATTGTTAGAAAGGTCATGTTTGAGGGCAGTAAGCCCAGTTGCAATCTTGTAGCGTGCTGGTTATTGTATTAATTTAGGAAAACAATTCACAAAATGGAAAATATTAAAGTACAAAAAGAATCAAGGTAATATTTTTTTTTCTAAGTAAGTTTTGACAACCTGAAAATTTCTGTCTTGTTCTATTTTTATGTCAATACAATCATATGGCCTAAGTTAAAACTGTGATTTTTATGAATGTAAGGTTCTGGAGAGATAAAGTATCTAAATGATTAGGGAGGCAGTTGTCATACTGTAATCACTTTTTTCGTCTCTTTTTGTAAAGAGGAAATTACTGGGTTGTATTGTAGAGATTCTGTACAAAGTGGGTTGTGCTAGAACAGAGTCGTGTAAATAGTCTTGAATACTGTTGAGGTTTTTTTTGTAAAAAGGTCTAATTTGACTGAAAAAACAACATGGCAAATTTTTTTGTGTTTCTCCTTACCTTTCTTTCTCTTGTTTTATTTGTACATGCTCCAACAGGTTGTTCACACCATGATTTATTCCTGAAAATCAATTTAGAAACAATATAAATGTTGTTACTAGCCTTTTTATTTTTCCTTTTTCCAGTTAAATCGACTTTGCTGCTCCATCAGAGCCCAACCACAGGTCTGTTTCCTACCAAGACCTGTGTGGATAACCAAAAGGCAAAGGTACACGACAGTCTTTACTGTGCTGCCTGTGCCTGGGCATTGGCCCTTGCTTACAGGTGAGTCACCTCTCATCTCACACCTCTTATGCTCTTTCTGTTATTCAGTTCCCCAGGAAAGGTTTAAAAGATGAAGCTTTATCAAAAATAGATTCGTAAACCCGTAGAGATGGTACGTTTCCGAATCTCAATAAGAATATTTATGTAAGGACTAGGTTAAAAATGTCACTCTACTTCTGGTAAGTAAACAGGTTTTTGTATGATGTAATTAGTACCAGTATTTGTAAGAGAGACATTAATGCATGCTATTAAGAATAGGTTCTCGTGGCAAATTGTACTCAAGGAATACTGCTAGTTTCAAAGGTAGGAGAATTCAGAGCATTAGCAGGCTTGATGCAGGGATTAACAATCCATTTCCTTGCAAGAGACTGAACGTTATATCAATACGGATTTTTCTTTTTAGATTTTGAAATAGGACTGTTTGTGTAAGTTGCAAGACAAACTGCAAAAAACCCCCCCATTTTATTATTATTATTATTTTTAATAAGGAAGGATGAATAGGGCAATAAATATCTTGATACGGGTGAGGGCACCACTATGCAACAGCATTAGTTAAATACTTAATATTCCAAAGCATTGATGTCTCCTTTTTTTCCCTGCTAATGCATTTCCAATTTGTTTTATGAGTTATCTCTCTTCCCCAGGCGTATTGATGATGACAAGGGGAGGACTCATGAGCTGGAGCATTCTGCTATAAAGTGTATGAGAGGAATTCTCTACTGCTACATGCGACAGGCTGATAAGGTAAAACACTGGAGTGTGGACACAAGCACTGGCTTCATTCTGGGGGATTAATTAAACTGTGAAAAGTAACTTCTAACTAGAGATAAAATTCCAAAGGGGAAGGCAGTGCTACTGTGTGGCCCAGCTCAGAACAGCTGCTCCGTTGTTGTCGGGCCACAGCATTGTTTTAGGGTGTAGAAGGCACGAGTGTTTGGTGAAGTAAAATGCAGGGTGTACTTGAAACTTCTTGGGGTTCATTTTGCAGTTAGTTATCCTATTTAAATATTACTCCATTAGTAGGTGTGGGTGGGTTTATGTCATTTTAGTGATTAAATGGAAAGATGCAGAACTTCTTTTAGTTAAGGCTGGAGACTTTTCTTTGCACTGTTATCTTAGTTATTGCTTTTGTGGATGTTCTCCTTATCTAGGTGATCATTTTGATTATTTTGCTTGGTTTCTTTAGCAACCACTTTCCAGTATTCTTTGACTTAATGATGTAAGTTGAGAAGGGCAACAGCCCAAAATGAATAAGGAAACTAATTTACTTATGTTGTAACACAGTTGATTTACTCAACCCATAGTCCTCTTGTGAGTATATCCTAAATATTCTTGAATATTCAGGGATTCTCCTTTTTAAAATTTAGATATGGTGGGTTATTTTGCATAGTGGTTAGCAGTAATTCTAGAATTAGTTAAATATATATATTCCATATGATTTTGTTAAGTTTCATGTAACTGACTTTTAACTGTATTATTAGAAATAGTTTTCATGTAACCACATAGCCTTCATCTCAGCTGAGCACACAAACTGAAATGAAAAGTTCATAGGCATGTGATACCAGTAACAATAATAATAAGCAAATCAGATGTGTTGCCAGTTGTATTGATGTTGACATATTTTTTCTTTTTTCATAGTCTGTTTCTTTGTGGTCTCAGATCTTTAAATAATCTTGACCTAAATTGATCTTGTTGCATTTGAGCTGTTGTTTTTCTCTTTGACATGCAGTTGTTAGTTTTTGAGGATGCTGAGTGCAGATAGAAATAATGAGTGTTAGATTAACACAGGTGTCATATTGCTGACATCCTGCTTGTCAGGTTTTGTCTTGTTTACTACAGACGCTTTTCTTTTCCCACAGTGTAGTAATAAACACTTTCTGGTGTCTAAAAGAAATAAATCAAACTGGACTTTATTCTGAGAGACTGTGTATGTGCTGGCCTCATGTAGAAGGAAGATGGTTTTATAATAATAAAAGGAATTATATATGCCCAAGACATGACTTGAACAGATGCTGCTGCTTGTAAGAAGAATTGCAGATGTTGTATTCTGTTGCTAATGAACATGTGACTTATGATCTGATATGTATTTAATGTGTTCATGGAATAGACATGATAACTCTATAGATTCTGTTAAGTGTTGGGAACTCTTGTTTATAAGTTTTACTTAGTGACCATATGGAGGAATTTTTTAATACCTGAAATATATAGTGAATTTGTGGTTGCCAATCATATTGACATTATTGACTTTGATTTTATGTTTTGCCTTTCATTGACCTTTAGGTTCAGAAATTTAAGCAAGACCCCAAACCATCTGCATGTCTGCATTCTGTGTTCAGTGCACACACTGGAGATGAGGTGTTGTCCCATGAGGAGTATGGGCACCTTCAGGTAACACATGCATACATATGTAAAAATTTGGCTGATTTTTAATAATGTTATTGTTGTCTCTATTCTTCCATAATGCAGCTGTCTCAGTTTGGTTAGACTTGTGCTAAATGTGCTGTATGTGGTAAAACTGAGGTTCCTTCTGCATCTTTTTGTGAAAGATAGACTATTTTCAAGTAACTCAGTGATATGTTTTGGTCAGAAGGTACTGAAATAACTGTGGGATTGTAGAGGTAGATGGTTGGATGTTTACAAAGTTTCTTCTTTTGAGAGCAACAGAGGGCTGTCAATAAATACTCCTGGCAAAAAAATGTTGTGGTCAGTAAAGTGAAAGATTTAGTGTAATCTTACAGTGAACATGAGTGTTCCCAGCTTAATTTTCCATAAGTTTGAGAAATTTTCATTCATAGTAAAGATTTTAATGTACACTGACAACAGCTTTGTCTAGCTAGGAATTGTTCACTTCTTTGTGTGATGGTTCCTAGTCAGATTCGTTGCCTAATTTGATGTTTTAGTCTTTCATTTTTCAAAGTTTTGATCTACTCCTTTCTTTTTTTCCCTCCCTCTCTTCTTCACTTTCAGACCCTTCTTTGCTTTCGTGGCCTTATTTTGCATTCCTTAGTCTGCATAGTCTTTCGTTCAGAAATTGCTAGTGAAGTTATTCAGAACTGACAGTAGGTTGATAATTATTTAATTTCACGGTGACAACGTTACTTGAATAGTTTGTACAATAAACGTGTTGGATTCAGACAATGTGTGTTCTGAGAAAAATGCTTTATGCAGTTATCCTGAGTTAGCATTTTGGACTTCTTTGTGAAGCTCCCTGAAAATGCCCATCTTTTATCTGTAGGAGGAGACAATTTTGGGACCTGGGGAGCAGTATATGAGAGTTTAAAGTCTGGTTTTTGTGGCAGCTCAACCCTTCCCATAACATGTATGCCCATTCGCTTCTGTCATCAGCACACTTCAAAAAATAGAGGATTTTCAGCTCTGTGGAGATAACAGGGTACAGAGTAACTTAGGGGACTCAGTTGGGAAAAATAGAATATATTATGTAGCTCTTATTGCTGTACTTGGTGCTTTTCAGTTTGTATGAAGGAAGTGGAGACAGGGGTATTTAAATCTCCAAATTTAAATCCCCAAATTTTTAAAATTTGGACCTAATTTTTAATCTGCTATATTTCAGATAGGAATCCAGTTAAAAAACTGGATTAAAAGTTCTGGAGGGTTTCTCTAAATTTCATATGCTGACAATGTGGGTTTTTACCTCATTGAAGCAAGTTGCTGTGAGAAACTTTTGGAGTTATACAAATTCTCAATTATAGTAGAATTCTGTAATAAAAAACCAATCCAGCTGTTTCCTTTGATTAATCAATGAATTGGCATCATGATGCTCATCCGTATAGCTACTGTTAATAATAAATGCTGTGTACAGCTACAAAAACATAGTTTTTCACAAATCTAATCATATCTGAATATTGTAATTATACTCCTGTCAGCTGATAACACTAAAATTCCCACTAGGGATGAAGTGATTTGCTTTCTAGGTGTGCTGTATACTATTCAGTGTAATACTTGCCTTTTTGGTAATCTACTTGCTAAGAAATGGTTATATATGTAAACATGAAAGAGCTCGTGGCTACAGTGATTGCCTGTGGGTCAAAGCAGTGTGCTTTGATAGCATATTTTGACAGCATAGTTTGAAATAATTTAAAAAATGATAATACATCAGAAGTTTTAGAGGACAATGCTTCTTTGTGGCATTTTTTCCTATTGATTGTTTCCCCATCATTAGGTCTAGGATAATGTTTTTGAAGAAGCAAAACCGTGTTATAGTGAAACCATCTTTGTTAGTGAATAATACCACATTTAATTTGTTTATCTGACTCCAATAAACATAAAGTTAATTATAGTTTCCTTTCTGTGTTTAATTACTTCAGATCAATGCCTTGTCATTATTTCTCCTCTATTTGGTTGAGATGATCTCTTCGGGGCTGCAGATTATCTACAACACAGACGAGGTACAAATTGATTTCCCATCCTAAAACACGTGCTTCAAGTTGTTTGTGTTCTTTCTTGGTTTTATTTAATTATCAACTGTAAAATAATTGTTCTGAAAATGCACTGCAGGTACTATTTGCTTTTAGTGTAAGTCAGAAAAGATGAATTAATGGATAGTGCAATAAAGTAATAGCTGAAAAGGTGTTAAGTATGCAAAGAGTAAATGTAACATGACATTGAAAACTTTTGTAGTTCCCTGCTATTTCTGAAAGGTACAAGGTCAAGAATTAAAAGGTCTATTAGGACAGTTAACTTCTACTTATGTTGTTCTCAATTTTCACATTATTTCAAACTGTCAGTACATCCTGTCCAGTGGGATTTCAATACAATAAATAATGGGGTTAATTTTCTGGAAAGCTGAAGGACTTTGTTCAAATACATATGAACCTGTGGGTGTTAAGAATTTTTGCTGTTTCTTTGATTGAAAAAAACCCCATTTTGTGTCATGGTGAGAGATGTTTGTAGAGATTGTTAACTCTTCTGTAAATAAGATAATAATAGCCACTGTGGCTGTGACTTGAGGACAAGTCATGTGAGGACAACCTGCTGTCCTGCTCTAAAATGAGGTTATGTTTTGATACAGAATGGAAAGCACAGATGTATGTGGTTTTTTTTAATTTTTTTTTCTTCCAGTTTTCCTAAACTGGATTTGTTTAAATTTACTCTGTTCTATTTAATAATTGCTGCTGTATTGCCTTAAAAAGCTTAATTGCACTTATAGTACTACCTTTTAAAAAAAAAGGGAGAATTTTCCAGTAACAGTGTATTTGTATTATATTTCTAAAACGTGCATCTTCATTAATCTAGTTTTTTTTTAGATAATGAGAGAACTGAATGTTGCAACGTCTCCTTTCTTGCTTAGTTAGATCATATGATAGGTCTATCCTATTTTGTCTGAATTGCCTTTATGTCTGTGAGGAGGCAAATGTATATAATTAAGTATTTACTTAGCTTGATATATAATTTATATTATCCTCCAGATGTTTGTATTTAATTACAGATTCTGCAGAAAAAGTGCATGTGTACAGACTCTCCAGTCAGTGGATATTCATTCCTTGTCAGGCTATAGTTTTCTTTGCAACTGTACCCTATAAATCTCTGGGCTATGGGGATTTATACAAGATTGTTTTACCACAGACCCATATGTTCTGTTATTCCCTGTGTAGCTCCAACAGTTGCCTTTATTCTCAGATCTTATAACTCCATGTAATGACAGTATTTCCAAGTTTCCCTGTGTGTTTAGAGAATGTTCACATAGGGGCATTGTGGATGTGGCAATCTGCTACCCAGACACCAAGCTGGAGATTTCTTCCCAATGATGCCATTACAGGGTGTATTTAGGCTCTTTCCTTCCATGGAGAACCAGTGCTTGCCCAGTGGAAGGTGCTGGCAGATGGCTGATATTTGGCAAGCTGTCTGCAGAAATATGTTTGTACACACAACTCTTGGCTTTAGAGGCAATCCCTGCCTGCTTGATGTCAGGCGTGGCAGCTGTCAGTGAGTTACCCTCCAGTTTCATCTGCTGGCAGTTGAAAAATTAATTTAATCGTGTCTTTGCATCCATAACAAAGATAACAGTGTATGATTGTGGCAATGAGTGAGAGCAGTTATCCACAGGTTAAACAGTTACATGAGTGTTTGCAGTCATCCATGCTGTGTGTGTGTTCTTTATTACACCTTGATCTCCACATGCTCGACTTCTGGATAAATAAGCTTAACACACACAATCCATAATTTCTGTAAGTGCCAGAGAATTGACTTGGTTATAGCATTTACATGCCTGTGATATGAATGAATTGTTTGCAACAAGCTCTCTGCTGCCTTTTTTTGTAAATCTGCTGTTTGGAAACCCTTAGTTAGTCTCATAAAATGTCTAATTGACTTTTTTTTAATGTGTGTTCCACTCATCATCACTGATAGAAGTAATCAGTAAAGTTATATATTTCTGTGTGGTGCTCTTTCCTTCTTCATTTAGCTGATACATCTCAATTTCAGTTATTGATAGAGATAGGAGAAGCCACACCCTTAATCACTGGGTATCCTGGCTTCATTCACAGAAAGTTCATTTTAATACAATCAAATGCTAAATTACAGAGATGAATATCTAAGGAATGGGCATATCTAAGGAGTGGGACAGTGTCTTCTTGAAAGTAATAGCTATAAAAAGATTTAGGGTACAGGTAATTGTACATGTGCATCCCATAGTGAAATTTTAGCAGAGGCATATTATATATAGAGAGACAAGCGTGTCTAGAATTATAATATTGCTGATGGACTGGTATTAGCATAAAGAGTGCATCTGAAATACAAAATTTTTAAGATTTAAAGAAACATGGAGAGAAAAGACCAAACAGAAGTATAAAGATAAATGAAAATGAAAGCAAATACCTTTCAGTAAAAGATTTGGGTTTTGTTTCATAGCTCATTAAAAAAATAAAAACCACATGACTGTAATAAAGTTGATCCTTCTCTGTCATTCCCCAATATGGTTGTGTATTTAGCCATTGCAATATTCTCTTTATCAAAGAGTCCCCTAGAATAATTTAGATGGATGAACCAGCGTAAATTTTGTGTTTGTGGTTAAATTTTCTCCAGGCTCTAATCTGTGGACTGTTTGAACTGAACTGTAAAACTTACGATCAGTTTAATTTTTCTACAGTTGAGCAACTCCAAATGTCTTTTTCAACAGTGCAAATGAGTGAAAATTATCTGCTTAAATAGGTCCCCAGCTATAGTTGAATACACCTGAAATACCTTAAAATACCCTTCAATACCTTAGTATTCAGTTGAAACATGTTGATCCATGCAGATTCTAATTATAATAAATTAGTTTAGGGTTTTATTCATGTTTATAAAGGAGTGTGTTTGAATCTGCATAAGTATGTATTATCTGGAGCTAATATAATAAACTTTGGCATGTTGACTCCCTTAGAATTAATTTAGAAACAGCACCAAGATTTCTGTCCTAATCTTGCAGGATATAATTTCTTTTGGATTCTGAAGTTTGTAGAATAAATCTTTTTTGAAAGCTCACCTTTTTGTAGCTCTCCAAATATGTGTCTTGAATATGAAATAATTTTTATCCCTGGCTTTGGAAGAACTTTTGCATAAATTCACATTGTCACCTCATTTGGAGAACTCTTAATATTTTGTGATTAAGAACTGGTCTTAAGGAGAATACCTGAGCTTGGGTACATCATGCTCTGGATTCAAACAGAAATCGATGGAATTATGATGGCTGAGGAATAACTGTTTTGTCTCTTGGAAAAAAAATGAATAGAAAACCTGGTTTCATTTTCCTTCAATCACTTTTCCTTTTCTTCCTGTAGGTGTCCTTTATCCAAAACCTTGTGTTTTGTGTGGAGAGGTCCTATCGTGTACCAGATTTTGGTGTCTGGGAAAGAGGAAGTAAATACAACAATGGCAGCCCAGAGCTGCATTCAAGGTGGGTCAGCAAATGTGGCTCTGTCAGTCAAAACAAGTAAATGAATCAAAAGAATTCATGGAGTGAGTTAAAAATAATAATACATTAAAATACTGTTTGAACTAAATTAAGGTTCTCTAAAGACTGAGAGATGTATTTTGGGAAAATGTGAAGATAATTTCATCATCATATGCCTGCCAAAATAACCACATAGATGCTTAGCTGTTTGAGTATTCAAATTCCAATAATTATGTGCAGCTGCATGCATATAATTCTGAAAATTGTGTTCAGAACTGTTCAGACCCTTTAGGCACACGCAATAGTTTGGATTCACAAGAATGGTTAGGAATACCCTGCTTTAAAAAGGTGTTGAATCACGAGTCTAGATTTTCTCATCTCCACCATGGTGGGAAGAAGATGCTGGACGCTGGAGGCCAGCCCAGTGCCGAGCCTTTTTCCAGGTTCTTCAGATGCTACAAGCAACTGGACATTCTGATCCCTGTCCCAACAGACAGTTAGCAATGTTCTTAACATTTTAATGTTATAGTGGTCCTGTTCACTTAAGTGGAATTGCTTATGTGCTGTCTGTCTTGAAGGATCAAGTCTGTAATCTGACAGCTTGACTTTTCTAGTGTTACTGTTATTTTCTTCACTTCTTGACTTCTGAGGTTTTATTATTCATAAAAATGGCTATAGCTTGGATATCTTAGGATTTTTAAAATATTGTTGATCATCCTAATTACCAAGGGCTTGCAAAGAATACATGTGTTTCTTCCAGTTTTCAATATTTCCAATGAATGTGTGTTCTCATTTGAGAATGGAAGTTTTTTTCTGAGTCCACATACAGTCACATATATTTTAACCTATGGGTCTAATTACATGCTATTACAGCAAAACACTTAATTTAGGTTTTTTTTTTTCCGGGCTTTTATAGAACCTTTGTACCAATATGAGAACTGAAAAAATCAGAATTGTTGTTATATGATCTGCTTTGTTTGTTTGCTGGGGTTTTTTTCCTCCTGTGTTTGTAGAATTGTCGAATGGCAGACTATATGAGCATTCATGTAGAGAATCATATACTTCCTTCCACATCTCACCTCGTGCAAATGTGCAAAAGGAACGTAAACTCCTGTGTCTCCTGTTGTTTGCAGCATTCTGGTTATTCAGTATGTGAATTTCCTCCAGGGAAAACAGAACATCTTTTAAGCAGATGGAAATGGGCTTGTTGTTCTGTCTTAATCTAGACTGACATTTATAGGTTGGTTTCTCGAAGGTGAAGTTCTGTGAGATGGACTGAGCCAATCTAACAGATCATTGAACTAACACAAAAGGAAGCACAGAGCTTGGTCCTAATTTAAGAAGTAGACTTTGGTCATCTGAAACAAGTTTGCCCCTATTTATCTTTCTTTGTGTGCATGTTGATACTCTGCTGTAGAAAGCTGGTAGGCAATTTCCCTTGTTCTCATAAATCAGAAAAAATGGAAGAGGAACATGCATCAAAAGATGTATTTAGATATTATTGAGGAAAGCCCTGGGTATGCTAAGATATTCTATGTACTTTGTTATGCTCGTGGTGTAGTGAATCTACCAAAGAGAGCTCTAAAAACCAACTTTTTTTTTTAAATTGATGAAGCAATTAAAACCGTCAGGTCTACTAACAAATGGTGTGTCTTCAGTGATTATGGACCCCAAGCCAGTCTCTTAATTTCAGTGTTTAGTGTAGTGTCCTCCTGATCCTCCAAACCTACACTGTAAATCTACATACAATGTGTGTTTGCTTTCAGAATGAGAAATTAATTATTGTCTTTTATTGAAAGAGGCTTTCTTTTTAAAGAAGATATTATATAATAGGGAGTCTATGAATAGTAGCTGTAAAATTGTGGCCTATGTTAAAAGATGCAGATATTTTAAACCTTCACAGTCTTGGTATTCCATCTTAGTACAGCTCAAAACACTTATAATAAATGATAAATAGCAGAACACTCTGTGGAGCAGGTCTGCGCTGATGTGTGCAAATTGACGCCTTTTATTGGTTCAAAGGCGGGATTTGTAACAGCTTTTATTGCAGTGTGATCCCCTTCCTGAGCGGCTGAACTTCTGAAAAATTAATTTGTCCTGTAAGCATTTGATCAAGCTGTTCTCCAGGCATCTGCTGATACCTCTGCAAAACGTCTTTGACATCTCCCATATGTGCTGTGAGAAAAATGAAATTGCCGAAGTGCAGCATCTTCATATCCCGAGTCTGGGGCTGCAGAGCCTCAATCTTGCTCTTCTCTGCAGAGCAGGTGTTATATTGCTATAGTGCTGTTCTTCCTTGCTCTATTTTGATTTATATAGTTAGAAAATTATTATTACTGATGGAGGATATTTTTCTTGTTTACTTATTTTTAGCATCCTCTGTGGTGTTTGATGTCCCAGTTCAAATGCACAGCACTTGGATGGAGGCAAGCAGCTGAATGGGAGGAGGATTAGAGATGTATATGCTTCAAGGTGTATTTTGATTAGCAGTTGCTAAGAATATTAAAATTTTAGTGTTTGCCCTCAGATATTTTACTGAGAAGAGTGAATCTAACAGTTAGAAGTTACTGGGAATTACGAATGATGTTTAAGTGCATTTACTAAATATTTTTTAGCAAACTGGAAGTACAGTTTCTCTAGGTTAGTCTCACCTTCCCCTGCCCTAATTGTAGCTCAAGGTCAAATGTATTAGTATTATGATTACAAGTCTGCTCTTGATAATCCTTGCCACATCACAATAATGGGCAGCTACAGTAAAGTCTTAAGATTGCACCTGGTGAGGTTCAGTGTGGACATGAGGAAGAAATCTTTTCATTTGACACACAGTGAAGGACCAGAACAGATTACTCAAAAGAAATTATGGAATCTCCATCACTGGAGGTTTTTGAGACTTGTCTAGATGAGGCTGTGGTTTACTTGAATTGGTCTTGGTTATCACATCTGGCTTGAAGTGTGGTTTCCTAGTGGATTAGATGAGTTCCATGTGTTCCTTACAGCTGATGACTTAATGATCCTGTGAAATTTTCAGAGGAATATTTCTGGAGAGTTTGAGTTAGGTTTTCTTTAGGGCCATCTCAAAGTAAGAACCTTTTTCTCTGGGCATTGAGTCCCACATATTAATACAGTATGTTTATGGTGGGTTGCTGAGTGGAGGAAGGAACATTTATTAAAATACATTTTGCCATTAATTCATACTGTTAAAACAACCTATTTCTTCTGTTACTAAATTACAGAGTATGAAGAATGTATTTTCTCTACAAAGACACGAGCATAATGTTTATTATAAATCCTCTCTTGTAATTTGCCCGACAGGAGGGCATTAATCAGTAGGAATGAAACGAGTGTCTGAAGTGTGATCATAATCCTGAAGTGTGCTGTGTTATTTGTTTGTTCACTCTTTTGAAGACATACTTGGTATGAAGGCTCTTCTCAGACTTTTTTTTCTTTTAAAGTAACTTCCTCCTGTGATTTACCCATGAAACCTCTGGTAATCTAAGTAGTAAGTGTGTCTTTGGTGAAGGGAGTGCTTGATGATGTTGAGAGATTTATATGGTCACTTGCAAATAATATTTGTGTGAGTAGAGAAATCTCCAGGGGCTTTGAATAACTAGGGGTAGAAAAATGCTCATCATTTATGGTAAACATTATTGTTATTGTAGAATAATGACTATGTAAAATACAGATGATTTCAAGGAGGGAATACATGTCTTGAATTTTGCCTACTTTGTAGGCAGATTGAGTAGTTTTACATTATCTGAATACAGTTGAACATTTGAATATTCTCGAACATTTATTACTTCTCTAGCTTTTGTCAGTAACTTTTTTCTCTGAAAATGTAGGACTTGGTATTAGAACTGTTACTTGAAAGGGAAAAGAAGAATTAGGTTTTAACATGAGATACAGACTGCAGTGTGCAGGATTTCTGATTTTCATTTTCTGTATATGCAATTTGGTAATACTACTTAATTCCTCTAAAAAGTTCTGTTCTGAGTCATCATGCCCATTTGTTTGGTCAATTGCTAGGTGATAATTGGAATAGAGCAATTTTTAGAACAATTACATTTTTGTTTAGGTATTTGAGACAAAGCCAGAGAAATAATTATATCCACAGTACTTCTGAGTTCAGTTTATTTCTTTGTGATATTCGCCAGTACTAAAAGCTTTTATCATCAGAAGACACAAAACTGAGGGATTTCAGCACTGTTTGATGGCAGCTGCTCAGAGCAGGACATAGTTAAGCTGGTCAGCTTTCTCTTTTTGAACCAATTAGAATTGAATCCCATGAGTACTATTTCTGGCAGTGTTTCAGAAAGGAAGATGGAGGTTTATAAATGATAAAGTGTGAAATCAGTATCTAAAGTATTTCTACCATTAAAACCAACAAAGGTAAATGTAGTACTTAAAAAACAAAATTCTGTAACTGCCTTGTATTTTTTCCATTATTTTCAGTATTTTCTGTGTAATTGTAATTAAATCCCATATTTAAAATATAGATTAGTAAACATTTGAAATTTCGTATTTTACATTAATGGGACAAATAAATTTATTTACAGTAAGGTAAGGCTTGCTTTGATCCCAAAATGCTTCATGGAGTATAGAAGAATAAAGATTAAAGCACAGTCCCTGTTTGCCGGTTTCTGACAATTTGATTACTCTAAGTCTTTTTGTGGGTGGACAATGAAGCTGTTTGTCAATACTGTCAAAACTCTTACACAGAAGTTGGGAATGTTAGTGATTATTTTCTGAATATTTTTTATAACTCGGTGTTATAAACTCTGTGTAATGGGACAGATGTAGGGATAGCATATGGGTTGTCAGTGAAGTAAAATCCTGTTGTAGTTCATGTACAACTGAAGCAGGGACAGCTCAAGGCACATTGGTCAGAGAAAATGCAGTTCAGGGGAGACAAAGGTGTAACTTAAAATTTTAGTTTCATGAATGATGTAGGGAGAATTACAGTAAGCTTTGTTTTACTGGATGCTTTGAGTCTGTTTTACCAGATTGCCTAAGAGAATGTGAAAGGTGTTTGTTTAATTAGCTGAACCTCTGCAGTGTTTCTAGTTCCTACACTTGTATGTCACCACTGAATAGGAAGTGCAAGGGCCTTTCTCTGCCTTGCCTGTTTGTGTTCAATAGAGCTGTCAGAAATCTGGGAGTGTTAGATATTATGTTTTTAAACTGTAGCACTGTTGGGAACTAGCTGTCACAGGAGAGTGGAAGGCTTAGGCAAAGTTTTAAAAAGCAAAGCCTTACTGGTGAGTCTCGAGGTGCAGAAAGGACTCCCTTGCTTTCTAAACTCCTTCTCGGGGAAGGGTTTGGATGTGGCTGAATCCCATCTTAGCCTCTATAAGGAATTATAGAGGTATGATTAAACCACTTTGTCCCACAGGTTTTAATGATGGCAAAATAGAAAGATTTATGTAAATGAATTATTTATTATGACAAATTACCAAACAAGTGAACAGACAAAAGATCCTAACCAGAATTATTTACTACACAGTGTAAAAGCTAAAAAATCTACTAGTAGAGTATTATATAACGTAGTAATATATTGCACTGTAACAAAACAATTATATTAAAGCAATTGTATCGAAGGTAGCAAAAGAAACAATCATTAAGCAGAGATTGATATAACTCACCATACAGGCTAGTGGGCAGATCTCTCTCTCTTAACCCCTGGGGAGTAACCATGAAGAGGCATCTCTGCTTCACGGGAGAAGCTCCACACTTCAGGGGAGTGTGTGGAACAATCTGCTATATGGAAGTTTGGACTGGGCTTTTATAGTTATAAAGTGATGGACTGGTAGTCACAGGTTTACAAGCTCACAGGCTAGCTTATCTGCCACATCTTGTTTCAAAAAATGGATGTATATTGGAAATCTGGTGAACCAGGATGGTTTTAGCATAATTTAACACCAAGACAGCACCCTGGCACCAGCAGCTGCACTTGCATGATAGCTTGCATGATGGCTTCCATAGTGTGCATTATTGGATTTTAGGTCAGTTCAGGGTGGACTGTCCTGCCACACTGGCTCATTTAATAATTTACTTTCTGATGCCCTGTGACCTTAAACATCTGGAATTTTGGAATCGACATGCCTAAAATGCACTGGTTTCTGTGTATGTTAATGCTTCAGCTCCTCAGTGCAGTTGAATGGATGTAAGTGAAATTGGCCGATATAATTCTGTATTCTTTAAAACTGAGAAAAAGAGAAGAATGTTTCTTTGCCACTATTTTTTGTTTAAATACTCACAAGGAAAGTATAAAACTACACCTTCTTAAAGAAAAGGCTTTGTTAAAGTGTATATTTTTATTTGTACTGTATAATTTATGTAATTGGTAATAAATTAATATGTAATTTGTTTTTAAATTATATGATCTAGTGATTTTAGTGCATAATGTCTTTAAATGTGAACCTGCTTACTTGAAAGCTTGTTGATAGTATTTCTGGGTCTCGTTTTGTTTGTGATAGATATTAGCCATGTAGTAAGTGAAATAAAAGATGTATCACTGTATGGTTGACATGAGAAAACCCTTCTGTTCTGAATCCAGATTGATGAGTTCTTTTATTATATGGAAAGCTAGAAATCAGTCTTTTAAACTTCAGTGCTTGAGAGCTGGGTTGAAAAATTGTGCTGAAGTAAATCCTCTGTCAATAAACTACTAGCAAGACCTTGAGATCCATAATGCCAGATGTCTGGTAGCAAGGTGAGAGCAAAAGCACTTTTTGCAGATGGTCTCTGCCATTTGAAGACAAATAAAAATGCTGAATAGTGTTTGAGAGAAAAAAGGAAAAAAGCCAAAACAACCCCAAATTTGCTGCGTCATCATTTTATTAACATAAAGGTTAAGCACAAAATTCAAATCAAGAGAAGATCATAGTTCTGAAAGCTGGCAAATGTGTTAAATTTTAGCCTGGGCTTGAATTATGATACCTCTGGGATTTTGTTTTGTTTTCTCCTCAGCTCCGTGGGGCTGGCAAAAGCAGCTTTAGAAGCAATTAATGGTTTCAATCTCTTTGGAAATCAGGTAATAAATGTGTTTGTTTTCTCTCCTTTTTTTTTAGCAGTAATGGTTTAGACTGTGAGTTGGGCAGTTTTAGATTCCAGCTTTAAAAAAGTTGATTTGCAAACTGACTGGTAGAGAATTTGTCAGATAAAATCACTGTGCCCTTACTATCAAGAATTACTTTTTTTATTTCCTTAAAAAAAATTCTATAATGGTTCCAGCTTAGTCTGAACAAGAACTTTGCTGCCAAAACATTTTTTTTTCCTTCAGGACTGTATCTCTTGATGATAGAGTATTCTTCTACCTACAAACAGTACCTTACTTTTGTCTGCTTCCCTTATGTTTTTGATTAAGACTTTAAAGAAACTACTTTTATATGATCCCACTGTTTTACTGGTTTTTAATTTCAGTATGTGGCATAGTTGTAAAATCTTTTCCCAATCTTTCACATGGTTTGGATGAATTAGGAAAGCAAACCTTTTCTGAGAGTTTTGTATCTGACTTGTATTCCCTTTGTATGTGCATCTTTCTTTTTGGTATTATACCTACAGTAGTCTGTAGCTAAAATAAAAGAATATTCTTTGAAATTAATGGTTTAGAAAATGTACAAATGGAAGATACGTCATCCATTTTAAAAGCTGATGTCAAGTGTTAAGAACTAGGAGCTAGTAAGGATCTTCAATAATGATCAGACATTATACATGCATTGTATTTCAGAAATAACATTTATCTGTAATCTTTACCTTCCCAACAGTTTCAAGCACCAGTAAATGTGGCTGCTGGTTTTTTTTCAAATTATTTTTTACTAAATTCTGAAATGGATGAATAAATTGCTGAAGCAAGACCAGTTATGCTTTGAGAATTTATTTCCGAGATATTTAGTTGGCATAAACAGAAACCATTTTGACCTTCAGTCTATGGCAGAGTTTGCCTTTGTGCTTAACTCCAGCTGTGTTCCAACAGTTTTGAGAAATCCTGTTGAGCCCCTCAAGAGAGATTTGTTTGCACCTGCAACTGCACCAGTATAACCTGCATAAATCACTGCTGGGGTGACAGACAGCTCGTGACAAGATAAACATGTTCAAAGTCTGACCTAGTCAGAGTGTAATCACTTGTTTGTTTATGAGCTATATATCCTATATTAAAGACAATTTTATTTTTTTTTAAATAAATCAAGCCTTTGTAATGTGTCCTTACTCCAGAACTTTATAGTCTTTAGAGGAGTGAAAAATAGTTCATTTGTAAGACAAGATGCTTGTGGGTTTACCTTGCTTTTGAATCCCCAAAGAATTCTTCACTGTAGCACAGAATTTGAAACTGCAGATGCACATGTGTAGGCAGGCTGTGTTCAGAGCTTGTAGATGAATTTAGAGATTTGTGAATAATCAGAGTCTGGATTAGGAAGAAAGTAAATTAACAAATCATCAAAGCAAATGTGATTATTTGTGTGCATTCTTAGCACTATTCAGTATATATCTTACTAGAATGATTAAGAAAACAGAGATTATTTTCCATGGGCACAGTGGAAAAAACATTTTGTTTAGCCTAGTAAAGCAAAAGCTGAGTATTTGTATGATAACTATATATAATTAGAGTGCAGCTAAAGAGTGAGTCAGAAAAAACCCTCTGGAAAGGCATCTCAGTGGGTGGTAGTACTGACACCCAAAGAAAGCTGGCCAACTGCTTCTGGAGACACTTAATTGGAAATGAAAGTGTTTAATAATTAGAAAGGGAGGGTTCTGGAACAGTCTCCCTGGGAGAGTAGTGTACCAAAGAAACAGTGCTTTTTAGGAGAAATTTGGTGGATTTATGAAAACTCATGGTCTGATGTTTATGACCATAATGGAATGAGTTGGCATTGAATGTGTCCTCCAGTGGGGTGGTTCTGAGATTCAGTATCAGTTGGAATGTATACAAAGATACCTCTTCATTAACAAACTGCATTGAGTTTGCAAGAAGTTGCCTACTGGTAATAATTCTAAATGCTGTTGATTGTGTTTAAACGGTGTCTCAGATATGGGAGTTTTTCTGAGTGTTTCAGGAGGTATCAAAAAGGTGACAGATACAGTGTAGAATTGCAGAATGTTATTAGGAAATAGATTTTGCAAGGAGTAGATGTTAATAATGCAGACCTTACAATAACTGAAAAGCAGACAATTTTTGTTTGCTGTGGAAGCCCTTTTCCAAAGCAGTACCTCTGCTGAATATCTAAGCAGTACCTCTATGCTGAATATGTGTTCTAACTGCCTTGTAATGAAATATTCAACATCACTATTTGGAACATTTCCTGCAGTCACAGGGAAGGACAGCTACTCTTTTTGTTTGCCCTTAATACAGTTGTTATTTTTCAAGAATTAATGGAAGGGTTAATAGCCTGAATGAATCATATAATTGATAATCAGTATTATAATAGATACAGATAAAATCATCTAATTTTGGCTATACTTAAATGAGTTTAAAAATCCAAATTATTTTCAACTCGATGTTATATTTTCTGACTGAAATTACCAGCAGAATGACAGCATAACCCAAATAAAACACAGAACCAATTAGTTTCCCCAGAATAAGCTAACCTTCTTCCCTTTCCATTAAACAAATGTAATGTGTTTACAGGGCTGCTCTTGGTCTGTTATATTTGTGGATTTTGATGCCCATAATCGTAACAGGCAGACTCTGTGTTCGCTGCTGCCCCGGGAGTCAAGGTCTCATGTAAGTAATTAAATAAAATTCTCCTCGACAGACTGTGGAGAAAATAAATGGATGTGAATTCTTAGTTGCATGATGGCCCTTATGTTCTGCTTGATAAGGATGGGAATTTGCTGGGAAGGTGTTAAATTTTTGCTTCTTAAGTGTCACTGTGCTGTAGTTGTTTTTCTGAAGTAGAATTACAGTGGTGTTCTTTATTTTGTTAATACATAGGTTAGAATAGTGGCATCTTGGGAGCTTCCTAAACAATTGTAAAATAAAATTGGAAATAACTGAAGTTTTGCAGTCTTGGTGATTGTTTTCCTTTTGGCCTAGTTTCCACTATACACTCTGTGCCTGCGTTTTTGAAACACTTTTTGTTTTAGCTTTAATTCTTTCTTTTGTCTAGGAAAAAAGCCTTTAAGGTTGGCTTATCATAAATTACTGAATATAGACAATTTCTTGTTGTTATAAACTACCGTTACAAATATATTTCCTCAGTGAGTAAATCTAAGTGACATAAGTATAGATTAGTTAAAAAAAGATCTATTTCAGTGCTACCATCAAAGGTGAATTTGGGTTTTGAAAATCAGTAATTTAAAATGAGTGTTAATAGAGTTCTGCTTTTTTGTGTGTTCTTGGACGTAAGAGCATTTTTGTTCGTGAAACAGACTGTTATAATCTTCAACGTTAATAGTTTACTTATTGTGGATAAGAATTATGGAAGAGTTGTAATGCTGGATAATTAAAATAAAAGACACTGTCAGCTACTTTTTTTATAGTCAAATGGTCTTTTATAACTCTTGCTGTTTGTTATTTGCTGGAGACTTGAAATATTCCAGCAGAAGCTGATTTCACAGCTTACTTATCCCATAGAAGGAATCTTTGTGTCCTTTTCTTCTTTTTATGGGTTCATGTCAGTCATATTGGCAAAAACATGTTATTTTTAACAGTTGAATATCTTGAATATGTCAGCAGAAAAGAATACTCTTTTGTGTTTCTGTAAGCTTACCTGTAATGGTGCTGCACTGGTTAGTAATTTTTCTATGTTTTTAATTTATGATAGGTGCACATGGTTCTTGAGAAGGTTGCTCATATTTTCTCCTGGAATTATTCCCTTATCCTCTTAATTGTAAATCAGATAAGCTTGTTTGTTGAAGCACCTGAAGACTATTCCTGAAAAAGATGTTCAGAAATGATAATTTAATCACTGCACCTTTATAAAATATTTGTGATTCTTTTGAGCATATGATACCCAAATGTTTGTATTTCTTCCAGGAATAACCTGGAGGATATATTTAAAAAAACAACAACAACAAAACAACACAAAGTTTTAGAATGTTTTCACTTATGCCTGCACATTATCAACTGTAAAACAGGTCAGATTCTGAGTCAGAGTTCTCTTTTAAATCCTCTGTCTGGATATTTGGGTTGTAGTTTATCCTGATGTCTCTTTAGAAGTCTTATTTTGCACCTTATTTTAGTATGTTGGTACTAGGATTTTGATAAAGATAAGTTTGGAACATTATCTTATATTTCACTTAGTAAGTTAAACAGTCTTTGTGCATCAAATAATTGTCAGGAATCTAATTAAATGTGTAACGTCCTATTTCTCCCTCTCCTCCTACAGAATACTGATGCAGCCCTTTTGCCCTGTCTTAGTTACCCAGCATTTGCTTTGGATGATGAGGTTTTGTTTGGTCAAACACTAGATAAAATTATCAGAAAACTGAAAGGAAAATACGGGTTTAAAAGGTTTCTGAGAGATGGGTACAGAACAGCCCTGGAGGACAGAACCCGGCGGTACTACAAACCAGCAGAGATCAAGGTAGAGGGATACTTGACCTGTGACCTTATGGACAGAGTGTGGTTTTCCAAAATGTTTAGGCAGTACTTGAAAAAGAAAACGAACCCCAAAGCCAAACAAAACAAAATCCTCACAACACCCCAAAAGAAAACAAAGCCAAGCCAGACACCCCTCTGCAGTAATTGTAATTTGAATTGCCCAGTGATGCCTAATTGCTTTAAGTGAAGGAGATGCATTTTGTAATTTGCATGTGCAGTTTTCAGAGATTGCTAAGTCAGCAAGTGAGTCATTGGTTTGTTTTGTAATGAATGTGCTTTCATTTACATTTAGGGTACAGTTGATTTCACATAACAAATAAGGAAATTATTTATCATTTCATTTAATTTCACAGCTGACTACAGTCTGAGTGCATAGAAAACAATTTTGCTTTTGATCACAATATTTATCAGTAAAGGTTATCTAAATGAAAATTTATTTCTTTTTTTTCCCCCATAGTTTCTCTGTGAAAAATTAAAAAGTAGGTTATTTAAATATTCTGCTTGAGAATGAGCCACAGCAGATATAAAGGCACAGTTAAAGTGGCCGTAGGATTCAGGAGTGGTAACCTAAATGACAAACTGACATTCTAAAATGTTTTTGCTTTTATGATTGTCTTTTGTTGCTTAGAAATTATTCAACAGCATTATTCAGATATATTTCCTTCAATGAAAATGATGAAATGTCTGAATTTTTCTTCTTTTCAGCTTTTTGATGGCATTGAGTGTGAATTCCCTCTTTTTTTTATTTTCATGATCATCGATGGTAAGTGTAGCTTTACATCCCTGTCCTTGAAAGGCATGAGAGAGATGAGCTCTTAGAAGAAAGAGACAAAATTTTCCTGTCCTGTGAAAATAAACCATAATGCAGTGACACTAAATATCTCATTGAGAGTTCTGCCTCCTGGGTTAAAAAACCCCCAAGCACCCCAACCTGTGGTGACCTGTTTTTAGAATAGAACTTGACAAGGGTGTTTTAAAAGGTTCAGTCTGTGACATTGTCCTGCATTGCCTTTTAAGCCTAAAAATCTTTCACAGGATATCAAACCTTTGCAGCTGCACACAAGAGGAAAGGAAGTGGAAGAGAGAACATATTGACACACTGAATGTTGCAGCAGGTCTTTTCAAGTTGAATATTGAGTGGAAATTGAAACAGAATTCAGAAAGAAGACAGTGAACCAGAAAAGGCCACAATTTTTCAGTCAGTCTGACTGAATTAAAAAAAACCAACATAAAATCACAACAGCAGCAAAAACACCACTACCTAAACCTTGTCTTGAGGATAGGAGACACACCAAAGAAGTTCAGGGGATGATTCATGATGGAAGCTAAAGCTTTGATAGAACAGAAGTCTGATTAAGCAAATTAGTAGGGTTACAGCTGTCAAAAAGATTTTTAAATGGATTAAAATCTGGCCTTTTTTTTTTCTTTTTCCCCCCCTCTGTAGTATGTTAAATAGTTTTCAAATAAAGATAGTGAGAGGCATAGAAATATGCTGTCTGCCTCGACTCCTCTGTGGCCAGGCACAGATTAAAATATTGTGTTTGAAGATACAATAAGGTTTCACAATTGATATTTCTAAAGGAGTGCTTGATGTTTTTCAAAGAGTGAGGCCCAAAACTGAGGAGAAAGGCACTGACATTTAATGCTGCCCACTTGCAGTTTTGGGAAGAACAAAAAGGTAGTGATCTTTAACTGAAGTTATCAGAAGAATAAAAGAAGCATTTTACTCTTCTTGTGTACAAAAAAGAGTAAAAAATACTTTGCACATACATGTCCTTTCTTCCTGGACCGCACTTTTAGCAAATAGACCAATTCTGTTAGTAGATTTTGTGCAAATATCTCCAAATCCACAGGTTTCCTTAATGCAAAATTTGAAGTGTAAACAGACTGCAAAAAGACAATGGAATGGGAGGAGCAGATTACAGGGTAATATCTCTGTAATGAAAGCATTAAAGAAACCCCTCAAACTGCTGCATTGTGAATAGTGGTTTAGCTGTAAGCCTGTTTGCCCATCCAACACACACACTACAAAAGAAAGCCTTTTCTGCAAATTGTATTAAGCAACTAAATATCCAGGTAACTTCTGGTAGCTGGGTTTTGTTACCTGTATGACAATGGGACAGTGCTTGTCAAAGTGATACAGTTTTTGCTGGATGAGCAGAAATGGTTTTGGTATTGTTGATATATATTTTCATTTAAGAACTTTTGATGAACTTAGCACTGGTCATGTTAGTGTTGATCAGATTCATTTTGGGAAGTTCTGCTAAAAAAAACCATTTAAGGTACTGGTACTCCCAAACATACCAGTGTCTCCCCAGAAGCAGCATCAGAGAGTTGACTGTTTTATTTAATCTTGAGGTGTGTCAGCAATTCTCAGTCTCTGTAATATGGTGATATAATAATACCTGTATAACTTACAGATGTAACATTCCATCAAAAAATCTTTGGAGAGATTCAATTTGCTACTTCAAATTTCTTTTGTATTTATTTAATGGGATTTCTGGGCAACTCTCATCTAGATCAGTTTGCAACTCTGCTCTCAGTATTTAGAACGAGGCTGTTTGTGTCCACACAGGCACATAAGCTCTGCCTCTTCGTGCTGCTATAATTGAGGAAGTTCTTTACAGTGAGCTGGGCTGGTTGTCTGTGTCCAGGTCCTGCCCCCTGTAAGTTCACAGCTTTACTATCCCATGTAACTTGACATTTATTTCAGTTTAAGCTACTAACAGAACACCTGATTCATGATCCCTGTGAGATTTAGCTGTAGCAGTAAGTGAGGATATACAGTTTAGTCTTTTACTTCTGTGTAGATACTAAACAGTTTGAAAAAATATTTAGTTTTGAAAAATAAGCACCAGATTGTTTTTTCTTTTTCTTATATGAACATTAGGTTCATGAAAAAATTATTTCTTCCATTAAATCAATTATTGTTTGGTTATTTTTAGGCGTTTTTAAAGGAAATCCTGCACAGGTAAAGGAATATCAGGATCTTCTGGACCCTTTGCTTCAACATACACCTGAAGGTATTATCTGGAAATCATTCTCTGAAACACTTGTAGCTTTTTATTTATCTGAAATAATTAAAATACTGACTTCCCTATTAATGTATATTGTGGTCAGAGCAAAGGAGAAGTAAAAATATCAATATGTTTCTCCATGGCATAATACTGATACTAAAATAATCTCTTTTATGTAGTAGATACATTACATCATAAAGTGTGATAACAAAAGTAACATTGTCTGGAAAAATGCTGCTGATACTGATATAAGTTTTATACTGTACCCACTCATTCCTCCCCTGCTTCATTTTTTACAATTTACATTGTTCACTTTGACTTTCCTGGCAAATAGTAACTGCCAACAGTTAGGTTGTTTCAGTGTTCCACCTGGATACAAATGAGAGTTGCTCTCATCTTTCATTGTCACTTAATTTCACAAGATTTAAAAAATAATTTACTACATGCATATGAAATTGGTTCTAGCTTAGAGCAGGGAAAATGGCAGCATTCTAATATAAATGTTCTCTTGCTTAATTTGTGCGCTCCAGAATGTTTGTGGCACTGCAGACGAGGCTATTGATGGCTTACAGGCTCATTCATCCAAAATTCAGTTAAAAAAAAGAAAAAGACCATAAGTTTGAGTGGGAGGAAAAGAAATGGCCAGAGAACAGAACAAGCTTCAATATACTGACAATCCAATTTTAAAACTCAGCATTTTAGTCACCTGTTCTTACATCTGTGGTACAGTTACACAGGTAGATGTAGAGTATTTTAGTCTGACTTGTTCTTTAAACTTGTTGAAGTGAACTAGTTTCTATAAGAAAAACAAACATTTCCTTACCAAGTTTTCATTATGTGACAAATTTTCTGACCTTGCTAGTCCTTGTTTTTTTCTGATTGTTAATGAATATGTGAAGTTTCATGGATGCTAAATTAATCTTGTGGTTTCTTTTGTTGAATGTCATCACAAATATCCCATCTTAAACTTTCTGCATGTGCTTTGATACCTCACTCATTTGAATATTCTCTCTCTAATAACTTTCGTTTTTCCACTTTTTTCTCTGCTTCTTGCCAGCAGTTTTTTGTCTCAGCACGTAGCCAGACACTGCAGCTTTATTCTGTTTATCACCAGTTCTTTATCCAAATAAATTCAAAACTAGAGCAATACTAAGGTAAAATTTAGTTTTGCAGGAAGCATATTAATTTGCATTTCTATTTCATATAATTAGGTCAATCATTTGTCATTATGTTTCTAAATTACTTAAAAAGTGTGGAAATAAAGGTTATTGATCTACAATGATCAGCAATACCTGTGGCATAATTCTAGATAGAAGGTATATTATCTTTCAGGGAAGAACTTATGCTATTTTGATTCATGATGTTTCAAAATTCAAGTGCTAGTTTTAAGCATTTAATTAATAAAAGTATGTAAACCCAAGTTGACTATTTTTGACCAGGATTTTAATTTTAAAAAGTTGCCTGAGACTGAGCATGTGTTAACTGCAGGGCACAAAACACCCCAAGTGTTTCACTGTGACCCGGCTTTCAGTGCTTTTGGTTATGGTTTGTCACCTGAACCGAGTTTTGCTTTAGGTGAATTGTTTTATTTTCAATTTGCACAGTAAGATGCTGCACAGACAACATATGTATTCTGGGAAGAAATTCTGAGGAAAAGTTTGGTGAAATATGAAGTAGTTTAATATTGCCCTGGGTTTCCTACACTGCTTGTGGTTTTGAGAGAGGATAGTGAATGAATCCATCTCTGTTCAAATTGTTACTAAGGTGTCATTTTTCCTATTTTGGATTCAGTTTTATTGGGGGACTCCAATCAAATAATGAGGGAAGTGATGACTTACTTACTGTTTATTTTAAAAATCCCAGGCTGTCCTGTGGTGCCCAAGTATTACTATGTGCCAGCTGATTTTGTTGAAATGGAAAAGAAGAGCCCTGGCAGTCAGAAGCGGTTTCCCAGTAACAATGGCCGGGATGGAAAGTTGTTCCTGTGGGGCCAGGCCATGTACATCATTGCCAAACTCCTGGGTAAGAGCCTGAGCAGGTGCTCTCAGGTTTTCACTGTGTCTTGATCATGTTTTTCTGAATCTGAACAAAAACAGTGGCTTGAGTTTTGAAGGGACTATGAGTGGCATGTGTGTCTTTTGCTTTAGTACTTACATGATGGACAAAAATTACTTTTTAAAAGTCTTTTCATTTTTATGCTGCATGCAACATACTGTGAAACTTAGTGGAATATTTCATAGATTACTGAAAATCTTTTAAACATGATAGATCTATTTTTTTTGCTGTTTCTTTTCTTAGCTTCTCTTCTTATTTCCTTTTCTTCGTAACAAAGTATATTAATGTGATGCTTTCTGGATTAACTATATCAGCTGCACCTGTACAGTGATGTTTGTAAGTGATTTATAGCGTTTAATTCAAATTATTTACTGCTTTAGGCACAAAAAGTTTAAATTTTGAATAGTTGCAGTCTCAGAGAAAGTTAATAATTTATTCAACCTGTGTTATTTTTATCCTTTGAAATGTACTTTCAATTGCTCATCTAGTTTCTTTTTTAAAGTTTGACCATTGAAGATTGTTATGGTGAATTTCAGTCACAAATGAACTCTTGGTCTCACTTGAAATGATTTTATTAAAGGCTAATGCAAAAAGAATGATTAAGCCAGAAAAATCTTCACACTTGTTTTTTTTATTTAGTATTCCTTTTAGGAGCAAGATATATCAGTTTATTTTAACAGGATCAGCATTTACCTGGTAATCAGTAAATTGAGTTCTAGAAACTTTTTTCTGTGAACACTGTAAAGGGAAACAGGCTGTTGGTAGTAAAAATGAGAAACACTGAAGGGGGGTTTAAAAATTCAAGACTTGGCAAGAACAGTGGATGTATCTTTAAGTATGGAGGGACAGAGCCTGTCTGGTGCTCCACCTGTTTGCTTTCACTGTATTCCTTACCTAATTCCTTTTTCAGCCAATGCTTTAAAATAAATGCAGGCAATCTTATTGTTAATTAAAAAAAATGAATTTAACCTTTAAAAATATTAGTCAAGTAATTCTCAAGTGTGTGTGTAGGAATACTGTATTAATTCTGCTAGTATTGATCTTGTACTAATATTTGTGTATTTCTGTACCTGCAGAATGCTGGTTAAATAAATTGTATTTATAATTTGCTAAATTTTGTTTGTGTAACATAACATTCTTGTGTTTCAGTTCTTTGCTGAGCATTCTTACACACCGCTTTTTTAAAAAATAGTTGTGCTAAATCTCTTTTTGAAATGTTGTCATTAGTTGCTGTTTCCTTTATTGTTTTAAAACTTTCTCTCCACTGTATTCACCACTTTCATTCACCCTCTTTTTTTCCCAAATATTCAAAATTTCAACATTTTGGTGGTTGTTATATCAGGAACTCCATTTATTCATACTAATTTATAACTGCTGCATTCCATTTTGTTCCTTTCTGGATGAAAACCTGCCTGAATAACAGTCTCATCCTTGGTGAAAGTGTTACTTTGCTTGTTGGTGGTTGCTAATTAAGTGGAAGCCTGACTCCAAATACTTTGATATCTGGGAAGGTACTGTTTTCCCATTTCATCATCCATTCAGAAATCATTGTGTTGCCTCAAGGGTAGCAATTAATTTGTATTTGTTCAGCCTCCTTGCTCCTGCTGTGTAGGCGAGCACACGACATCACCTTTTAGATTCCTCTGCTGTCTCTGGGCCTGGGCTCTGCCTCTTGCACTCCAAACTTTTCTAAATGTAGCAACGTGAAACAGAGTCAATTCTTACACATCTCTCTGCCTCCCACAGAAGTAGGGAGGTCAAAATTTGGGTCCTGCTTATAAACACTCTGAGTAACAGGCAATGAAAGTGTCTGCGTGTCAGATGCCTATTGGAGGGCATCACATGTTTATGCAACTGAAAAAATTGTTTATGAAAAAAAAGCATGTTTTTGCAGATGATAATGCTATTTTTCATACAATTTCCTCCTTACGTCGGATGAGGAGGTTTGTAAAACCTTTATGATAAGGTCCTCATTTTGAAACAAGGGAAGGAATGCCAGGCATTCAGCTTTTTCATGCAACTGAAAATTCACTCAGGCTTTCATTTAGTACCTCTCTTACCTTTCCTTTCCTTTTCCTTATAATTTTTGTATCTTCTTCTGTGGATTCAGTGCTGCCTAGAACTAGGTTAAGAGTCTTAGTTTTAATAAGATTTTTAATATTTCTTACAGTGTAGACCAAATGGATTAAATGTTGTCAGCTGCTGCTGCTGCAGATAGTGAGCTAACAAAGAAATCTCTGCTTTTGCATTCTAATACATTTGTATTTGTAATAATGGTGATGAATATTCACTGAGATCCTATTTTAAAAAAAAATTGTAAATATTGAAGCTATATTTTATAATAGTCTATTGATATAGTTCTTTTAAATATTAAATTATTCTGACCTTATATTTTAATTACTAAGCAACATAAATCAATGTAAAAAACAGTGGGAATAGAACATGTATCCTGGAAACTGCTCTTGCTTTTAAGAACTGATGCATAGCCCATTGATCTTGCAATCGTTTGGTTAATCAATTTTATTGCATCACACATAAATCGAGTAACTTCCATTCCTTTAGCCAGCATAAGAATTCTGTGTGGACTGGAGCTTTAGATGACTGATTTCCTTATGTAAGATCTGGTAACTCACGTGTCAGTATATAAATGATTTGTCCATGGTGATTTTTTTATAATCTAGCTTTGCTGGTTTTGTGCCCATGGATCGTGACCGTGCAGGAGCAGAGCAGAGGAACGGGGTCCTGCCCTGGCAGGAGTCCAGCCATGCTGTCCCAGCACAAGGCTGAGGACAGGGCAGTAGCCAGTAGCTGGCAGAGCTCCTGGCACCAACATCTCCAGCACAGCTTCCATGGTGAACTGCCCAGCCAGGGCCCTTCACTGCTGCCTGAGCATCTTCTTTGCACTGTACCATCTATTCTCTTCTTTCCTAACACTTATAACCTTCAGTAAGGACATATTCTGAGTTTATAAACTGTAGTCTTCATTTACTACGTGGTGCAGTGTTCAGAAACATTCTTATGAAGGCAGTGCTGGTTTTCTCTTGCAGCTGAATGGAGTCATGAGTCACTTCCTTTTTAGATTGATAGCTTGTTATCCAGTGTGGAGGCTTTTAAGAATAGGTACAAAATTGTTGACTTCTATGTAGAAGAAATGAAAATGCATTGTGGCCTACTCTGTAGCAGAAATTAAATAAAGTTTGGAGAGTTTCATGGCAAAATGCAACTTTAATAGAATGCTTATTTGAAGGGTATAGTGGCTCATAGTAGATTATGAACCTTTATTCAAGGAATTCGTTGAAATTTTTCAATAGCATACTTTTATTGGAATACTTAATTTTTTTTCAGGAGAAGGTTAAAATAATGAATTTTTAGGTGGGCTTTTTTCCTCCCATGTAAAAAAACTCCATGTAGAAATGGCTTGATTTCAAATAAATTTAATTAGGTTTTTTTACAATATCTGATTCTTAATTTTGCAGAATATCCTTTTGATCTGTAAGTCATTGATCCAAAACAAGGGTTGTAGCAGCAGAACCAACTCCATCAAATAAGTTAGCATGCCTTCTTCACAAAAGCTGCTGAAGGTACTTAAGTCATTCTGTATTTTTATTATCCCTTACTTTCAGCTGACAAGTTAATAAGTCCTAAGGATCTGGACCCTATTGGACGGTACGTAGCTCCCCAAGACCAGCGGAATGTGAGCATGAGATTTTCAAATCAGGTAAGCATAGGCTTAGTTTTAAAATATTTTCACTGAGAAATTGTCATCTACATGTTATGTATGGTCTTCTAATATTACAGTTAAAGTGCAAGGAAAATATTAAGTGTATATACATTTTCTGAGTTGATGGAGGATTGCTTTTAAAAGGAAGATTTATAACATCTGCAGCTCTGGGGAAGTGACACACATTTGCCTTCAGATTAAGCAATGCAGTCAAAATGATACAGAAAATGTAAGTTTAAGTTGTTGTTAATAGTTAGGTATGTTTCTTTGAGTTATAAGTTATGCCAGGAATGGAAAAATGCTTTTTTTATTCCTCTGAAACAATTTCAATGTATTCATATTTTTTTTGTATTTAGAGCTCCTAAGACCTACAAGGATTAGGTTCTTTTTTTTGTGTGGTTGAGACACCATCCCTGGGGGTATTTAAAAGACATGCACATGTGGTACTTAGGGACAGAGTTCAGTGCTGGGCTTGGCAGTGCTGGATTAGCAGTTGGATTTAGTGATTGTAAAGGTCCTTTCCAGCCCAAATGATTCCATGATTCCATGTTCTCCTGTATTTGGATTAAATGCACAGCAGGAATGAGTGAACAGGGATGGGGAATGCTTGAAAACGTGATCTGTATGTAGGGGACTTCTTTTATTAACGAGGTGAGAACTCGTATGTGTGGAAGCTAAACAATGTATTTCAGCTGTTATGTTTCCTTATATAAGGAATATATATTTAAGAAGTCCCTTGTTCAGCGTTGTGAATTTGTTATTGAAGCATAAAAGATGAAGTATTTCAGAACTGAATAATGTTTTTCTTGTTTTATCCAAATGCTGCTTAAGCCCTCAGTTTCCTCCTCTTTGCTGTTACCAAGGTAATCCACCTGCCTGGCTCTTGGTTCATTCATAGTGAGACTTCCATTGTTCACGGTGCAGCACTTCTGCCATGTTAATATGAGATAATGAAAGCTCAGTGACTTCATTTTTTCCCAGTTTTGGTCTGTTCTTACCTCATGGGTTATGAATACAACAGAACTTGTGAGCTGCTGATACCACGTGCCCTTTTAGGAGTGCCCTCAGAAGAAGCCTGTATTGAGTCAGGGTTACTGCAACCCATCCAACTCTTCTTCCTTTGGTTCTTCAAACCAGGAACTTTTAATGTGCCACAGCTGAACACTTTGAAGAAGATGAGGGTTTGTTCTAAAGGCACTGCATCACTCATCAGGAAATGTTTCAGCAGAAAAGCATTTTTACTTCTATTTGGGGTACCCAATGTATGATAGAGAATTTCCAGATCTCCAGAGAGAAGTAGCCTCTGCCCTAAGAGCTTCCCAAAAGTGATAATAAATAATACACTTCCAGGAAGCTGTGTCCATATGTTTCCTCTTGGGGAATGCCAGTGTGGTGCTGGAGCAGGGCTCTCTTTGCTGGTTTTAGTCTGTGTTCCAAAACACAACAAAATCCAACAGCAGTCAGAGAGGTTCTCCTTTTGCTTTGCAGTGCTAATGGTCAGGTTAGATCCCATTCATAAGGTAAAAAGAAAATGTACTTTATTGAAAGAAGATAATGCAGGGAATTCTAGTTCAGTGAGGAGGACTCTTTAGAACTGGATTCCTTAGAATAGCTTATTTGGTTATTCCTTTTTACTGGCTCTGTATTCAGCAGAGATTATAACACAGTTCTGGTTGTTGCATTCTGTTTTGGGGAATGTAGTGAAGAAGGAGGCCTGGATGGTAACAACATTTGAGAAATGAGGTAGGATGGGGATTTTCTGGATTTGTTTTGCATTTTACTGGCACATGTGAAAGCTGATTTATTGCTGTCTTATGTTTAATTTCATATTTAACAAAAAATCATCTTACTAAATTGCCATAGTAAGACTAATTTGTCTGCTGGGTTATGTTGAAATATGTGTTTAGGGTTACAATTAATTAATTGTATTCTTTTAGTGTTTTGCTATGTAGACTTGGCAGTCATTTGGGAGGACTCCAGTTACTGTGAATTGAGGTTAATACCTATTGATGAAGAGAATTGGGAAAAGAATAGTTAAAATAATAGACTGGTTATTTTTTTATTTTCGGGGAGATAGATAATGTGTAAGGAAGGAACTAAAATTAAGTGGAGGTAGACTGAGATATTTTTAGATTTTTCAGCTTACCTGAGTTATGTTTAGAGTTGGACCATGTCTAATTTGGATGGTTTAGAGAGATGTACCATATTGGATGATTTGTTTTGTCATGATAATTATAAACATATTCTTGCTTTCATTCCTGTTAATACAATTGTCTATCACAGTTAACACAATTCTAAATGTGTCAAATGCTATTTTGGGATTTGAGGCACACATGTGTGCAGGCTCTATTTCATGTAACGAGCCTGGTGTGTCAGTACCAATGGCCACACAGTGTTCAGAGGGTCCAGCTGCTTCCAGGAGCAGATGTACTCTGTGACAATCAGGTTGGAGTTCAGTAGCAGCAAGGTGGGTCGTTTGGGTCAAGTCCAGTGTCTTCTGTTGTGGGCTATTTCTGTTTGCCTCACCTTGCTCCACATGCTTGGAAAGCCCGGTAGGTGTCATTTCCACTGGTGTTCTTGGATATTGTTCCCAGTTTCTCACATGCTCAGAATGAATGGATTTTTTTCAGAGTTCTGAGACTTCCTGGCACTGTAAGCAGAGAGGCATATAGTGATAACATCTGTCCAGAGAGAGTGCAGCTAAAGACTAATACTGAGCTGCTTTCTCTGCTTGTGCCAGGGACAGAGTCAAGGATTTTTGCCTTTATCCTACCTCTGATGGTTTATAACCTTGTTAAAAAACTATGATTTTTAAAATTTTTTTTTTATTCTCCTTTTTGGAGAGGAAAAAGAACTAATCACTATTTTGTCTTGGCCTTCTGAGGTATATTTATCATCCACACAGCGTGCAGAATATAGTTGAAAACAGCCCCTTCTGCCCACTATCCAATGTGGAAAGGGAAGGCAGAAGGCTGAGCCTGGGCAGGGGGGGTCTGTTTTTGTGTCCTGGGGAGGTGGTGATTGATGTTGTATGAACAATACCTGACCTTGCCTTATTAGACAAATGTGAAAGCCAACACATTAAAATGGAACTTTTAACAACAACAGGATTTATTTAGTGAAATATTTAGGAGTTTAATGCTTTTCCATATCTCTTTTTTAAAAAAAATATACAGCAAATGCTATTTAGAACAATTGTTATTGAAAAGGGTGACACAGTTTTTTGAATGTTGTATCAATTATTTTGATCTGTGTTTCTTTATGTACTTGTCATTCTCTAGGCTGTGACATGTCAAATGACAGTGAAAGTAATGTTACATGTTTAATGGTACAGCAGTCCTGTAGTTGTACAGCAATTACAGTTAAAATTTTCCACAATACTTTTAAGGGTCTAGCAAGTTTTCCCACAGATTTTGTGTTGTGCCAGTTGTGCTGCAGATGCAGTTTGCATAGTTCTGGGAGGTGTTAGAACCACCACTTATTGACTGCTCTAAATGACTCGTGTCCTTGGGCACGGCTGTGTGTGAGAGGAATTGGTTCCAATCAGGATTGGGGAGGGATGTGCCTCACTGGTGATGTGGAATAGATGATTTGTGTACAACTTACAGTCTGTGGTTACAAAGTCCTGCTAACTTCATCACTGATAGAGTAATAAATGAGTCTTAACTTGAAGACCATCCCCCAGGGTAGATCACAGGCTGTCTGTGAATCAGTACAGTCTTGTTTTCAGATGTGTATATGGGGGCTTTGCATTTTTTTTTATAAACAATTATTATGGTAAAGAATTGGTTTGAGTTTTCCTATGGTTTGTATAAATGCAAGTAATGGCACAATGACCTTATTCTGAGCAGTAAAATCTTTTAATGTCACTTGAACTTCTGACTTCTTCATCTGGTCTCTTTGTGCACGTACTTCCATCACAACTTATTTCATGTGGCAAAAAGTCCAAAATTTGTAGTGGAAGTGTAGTGCTGACAAGACTTCTGGGAGAATATTATCAAGAATTTCTTCTGCAAATCCCTAAGATCTAACTTCATATCAAGGCTCACAGATGCCTGAGCAAGCAAGCATTCACTCTGAGCTTCCTGTTCTAAATCAATATATCTATATCTCTATCGTCACAGAAAATGCTGTCTTTTTATACAATTGATAGAAGATGTGTTTAACTTCTGTTATTTGTGTTCTGCCAGTTTCTAGACAAGAGGAGACAAAAAGCATTTTAGCAATGAAAGTGTGAGCTGCTGTTAGTGCTGTTAGCTGTTGAATGCCAGGGAAGAAAGGAACAAGGAATAACTTGGACATGCCATTTTCTAGCTCATAGTGCTGCTGCCACTGTGATAAGAAAGGTGAATTGCCACTTCAGGACCCAGGGAGCTGAGTCAGTGTTTTCACCCAACATGCTGAATTCACTCCTGTTTGCGTAGTTGCCTGATGTAAAATACTTCATGTTTGAAATGAATACTGGTGTCAGTGTAATAAACAATGTGAGGAAATGGAGTTACCTACCTGTCTGATCACAATTTTTCAGAGTAAAGGGCTGAAATCATCAGGTCGTTATTTCTAAGTGAATTTTATTGATTACCCAAAAAGCTGAATTATTTCACTCATTACAAAAACGTGTATCAAAACATTAGGTTGTATCAGGCATATATGTGACACATTGATTAGATAAGTTCTAAATTTTTGTATAAAATTTAGTGGTTTTCGTATGTGATTCTTTTTAATTAAAAACCCCAAACTAATCCAAACAGTGATTACCAGAAATCTGTTTATTAATGATTCTCCAAAACGCATCTCTTGCAGAGTCTTAGTGATGGGACAGTCTTCCCATAGTTTTGAGACTGACAAGTTTTAGTGCTGTGGTGTTCTTTCAATTTGTTCATGCTGTAAGAAAGAGAAATGCAGACAGTGATGTCTGTCATAGTTGTGAATTGTTCAAATAGCCATTGTCCCTGTTCATGCTATATTGAACAAAATCTTTAATTAGCAATGCTAATAATATTTTTTTGCATTATTTTCTAGGGTCCTTTAGAAAATGATTTGGTAGTACATGTGGCCCTCATAGCAGAAAGTCAGCGGTACGTATTTACTTTTATTAAGAATGTATGTATTAGGGAAGGGTTGAACAATAAATATCTTAAATGGTGTAGAATGAAATACTGCTACTTGTGTATCTCCTGCCACGATAATTGTTAAAACTAAGACTATTCTGTGTTTTATCATTAAATTTGTCCTTATTTCATTTGTAGCTTACAAGTTTTTCTGAACACATATGGAATCCAAACTCAGACCCCCCAGCAGGTGGAACCAATTCAGATATGGGCTCAAAAAGAACTTGTCAAAGTAAGGAGTTTTGCATTTAAGATTTTTTTATCTAACTATACATTTCTTTTGTAAAAATAAGAATTTATATCAAGCTATTAGGCTTGTATCTCCCCAAGCTTGTTATCTACCTCTTTTGAATGGCAGTGGAATGAAAAGAGAAAGAAGAGGAAAACAAGAAAATGGGCTAAGATACATGGAGTATAGCACAGGAGAGGAGTGGAATACTCTGTAGGCACAGACTGATGAAAAAAAAGGGAACCCAGAAACAGATGGTGTACAAGACCACTGTAGTTTGGTTCATGCTCATAAATCAACCCAACAGTCTGGTCTGCTTTTGCAGCCATTTCTTGCTATTAGCAGATTTAATAATCTAGATTTGAAGGGCATTTTAATAAAAGAAAAACCACACCTGCTTGAAGCAGCTGGACTTGCATGAAACCATGCACTGTTCAGTGCTCTAGTGCTGAATCAGAACTGATGCTTTGATTGTAACGGGTCAAGATGGAGTGCTATTGCTAGAAGACAAAACATCTTCAGTAGTTGTGTTGTCAGCATGAGGCCTCCAGCTGAGAGTCTTCAAGGAAAGAGACAATGTTACAATGCTAATGGAGTTCTGGTTTTGTTAAGAAAGCATTTTCTGCTTTTTATTCCATCAAAAGGAAGGTTGTTTTAGTGTTAAATTGTCATGTCTACTGCCATTTTCCTAGTCTCCATTACTTCCTACAAGCAGAGGTTGAACGTTGTTTGGTTTTGTTATGCAAGGATGGGTCATTTAAAGCTGTTGGTGTTCTAGTGGCTCCATTCCTTTCCCACTTGAATAGGGTTACATAGCCTGGATGAACAGGTCATGTAGGTAATTTTGTTTTCTCTTTTAAATAGTTCTTGCTATTAATGCAGAAACATAGGCAGGATCAGGAAGGCCCCAAGCTGACAGCAATAAAAAGCTATTGAGTGTAATGCTTGTTCAAGTGTTTGTTTTCATTTGCTTCTCAATTATCCTCCTATAGCATAAAGAAAAACTGAACTTCGGAAAATGTTCAGAATTCTAAATATTCTGTAGTAATGGTGGGTTCCTTACCTAAAACTGCCCAAATAAGGAAGAATTACATCTTTCAGTCAGGTTTATCTGGTATGTTTATAATGTCTTGCTCACAGCTTAGTTGTTTTCTTATGGTTTTATTTTCATATACCGTAATAAATGAAGATTTTTTTCTTTCATATGTACTAGCAATACATAAATAAGAGTCAAGCTATGAATAATGAGATAATTCCCTTTGGTTTGTGTTGTTGTTGCTTTAATTTTGCAGGCTTGTACTAAAATTAGAATATAGATTTTCAAAGACTTCCTATATTCCTCTTTTACCTTTGTATCTACACTGGAAAAAACATTACAGAAGGCAAAGTTGGCCAGACAGTTAATGCAAATGATCCTTTAAAAAAATTATTTCATTAAGCAAATTGAAAAATTTTAATTATATAGATTAGAAAAGTAATAGGAGTAAGAAAGTATAAAGGAGATCTAATATAGAAAACCACAAGTTTTAAAAAAAACCCCCATGAATAGAAATAATGACCACATTTTAGGAATTGTTTTCTAATCAGAGCAGAATACACACAACTTTCTTTGTAAGATATGGCAGGAGCATAAGAAAAGCTGTTTTTATCAGTTTCCCTGATTTTTTCTTACAGGCTTACTTTCATTTGGGAGTCAATGAGAAACTGGGATTATCTGGAAGACCGGACAGACCTATAGGGTGCCTTGGAACATCAAAGGTTGTTCAAGAAATGTTTATATTCCTATTATTGATGTATATTTTAGATAAGCATTGAGTTATTCTCTGAATTATTTTAAACATAATTGAAATTCAATTTTATTTTATGCATATATCTTACTTTCAAGTCATTATATTTGAATACTTGGCTGAATGGGGATAAAAAATTAAATATGTAGGTTTTATATTATTTTTTTAAATTCAGCTGTTCTACAGTCATTATTACTTTGATAGTTTCAAAATAAATTTTCATTTTCAGCTACTTCAGTGCTTCAGATATTTTAGAGAAAAGATTAATGGAAGTTTTCTCTCTCAACAGATCTATCGAATACTGGGGAAGACGGTAGTTTGCTACTCCATCATTTTTGATCTCAGTGATTTCTACATGTCTCAGGATGTTATGATGTTGATTGATGACATTAAGGTATTTGTAACTTCTCCTTTGAGAAAGTGACAAAAGTAGAGCCTGTAGAAGAATAAACTGGGAAGTCTGATAAAAGAGAAGACTGAAATGGGAACACTCTGTATGTGTGTTCTTTTAATACAAAAATAATCTTGCAGCTGGGAAGTCTATTAAGATGACTATCCTGTCAGCCCAGTATGAGTTCTAGTGAGCATTTCTGTCTGACAGAAAAACTGCCCCAGAAGCGACTGGGAATGCTGTAGGGCAGCAAGCAAATTATCATTTGTTTCTTTGGGAAAACAAATGTTCTTGGCTGAAAAGAGGGATGAGACGGGTGTTATGGGAGAAGCCTTACATGGAAGAAATACTACTTGATTTTACACAAATATTAGAAGTTGCCTGCCTGTAAGGTGGGCAGCAGTGCAGAGCTTACCTGCCACATGCCCTGGGCTTGAGCAGCTACTTCCAGTGCACAGGAGGTGGCCCTGGTTATTCCACCCTAGTGGCTGGGATTCAAACCCTGGATCCCCACGTACACTTCCTAGGTCACTGCATGTAGTTCAATACCCTGCACCTCATGGTTTACTCCATGGTTGATATACAAGCTTATGAGTATTTTCAGAACACTTATGAAATAGCAGGGCTTGAAAAGCAGCTTGTATCCCTTGAAGAAATCTGTTTGTGATGGATTAGATATAGTGGTTTTAACCTGTTGGGTGTTTGAGTGCTGTTATTTTGAGACAACTCTTTTAATGTCTTGTACTGTATATTGTGGTACATTGTGCTTGTGGTTGTTTTGTGATTTTCTGTGACCAGTGTATTTTCTCTCCCCTAGAATGCCCTGCAGTTCATTAAGCAGTACTGGAAGATGCACGGTCGGCCCCTGTTTGTGGTGCTTATCCGTGAGGACAATATAAGGTAGAGAGACATAAAAGCATGACTTACATATGTGGTATTTACCTAATTGCAAAATTAATGGAGTTCTGTTTCAAATTTCAGAGGGAGCAGATTCAGCCCAATATTAGATATGTTGGCAGCCTTTAGAAAGGGAGTTGTTGGAGGAGTGAAAGTTCATGTTGACAGAGTACAGGTATGCTGGTTTTTTCTGAATGTTGTGTCCTTAACTCCTAATATGGGTACATATATTCTTACTACTTTTGGGTTTTATGTGGTTCTAAGGATTTTATCTAGTATCATAAAATTAAGAAGTCCAGACTCAGGACATTTGGTACACTTTGGTTTGTCTCAAAAGAAACATGGGGTTTTTTTAATTCCTTTTGATGAGTCTTTTGAAAGTCAAAATCTTCACAGAGATTTTCAGAAGGGAGAAGGATTTTTTTGTTAGGCAGTCTTGTGAAATTACTACCAAAGGATAAAGGCAGTGTCAAGCACTGAGGGATTTCTTTTGATTAGGTAATCAAAAAGGGGGGAGAAAAGGTGCTTCACATATATTAAAATTCTTACAAGAACTAAGATCTGGTTTTAACATCTTTGCTGTTTGAATTCATCTTAAAGCAGGAACATTTATTCATTAAAATGTGAAAATTACTGAGGTGCTGATTTTACATAATTGTATGTGCTAGTTCGTCTTAGTTTACACCTATTGAAGAACCCTTTTCTTGTTAGAGAGAAGACCAAGTTATGACTTCTTGTTCCCTAAAAAATCATTAATTTGTAGAAGAGCTGGGTCATTTTTAAAGGAAATGCTCCTACCTATGACGGTTCAAGACATTCTTGGAATCTTTAAATATTTATGTATTTCTCCTGGTCCTGTATAGGTCATGTTGTCTCTCCTGGTACCATGGACTCTTTCTATAGCAAAGGTCCGGGGAGAACCTTTCATTTGGCTACAGCATTTGTTATTGTGGTTTGGTTTGTTTATTGGGTTTTTTAACTGCAAGGACTTTCTTGCATTGCATTGATTCAACTGGTGTATTATCAGGCAAGAAATTTCTCCATCTATATGTGCCCTTATTTTAAGCACTACACTGAACAACTCTCAGGGAGTAAACTTTTGCTTCCATACTCATGGACCTTCTGGAAAAATCCTTTTTTTAATGTAAAAAGTAAGGAGCAGTTTTAAAGGGTTTAAGGTGTTGACAGTCACTGGCCTTTGCTTTATTTCTTAGCCACTAAAACATGGGAAAACTACAAACAAATGTTTGTTTCACTTTAAGGCCAATGGAGATGGTAGTGGTGCCTTTCCTGCTGGGATACAGTGTCCCTTCTCCAGCAGTTGAACTAGAATCTCTCAGTCTTATTGCACAGTTGTCACGTTTTTTAACAGTCTTGTTTCATTACAGGAAAGGATTTGGGAAAAGAACAAGGGACATGTCTAATTCCTGGTGTTTTCTTGAATAATTATCTATTCTAACAAAATATATATTGATCTTTGCGAACTGTATTCAGCTGCTTCATTTAGATGCACATGGTAAACGTGCCTAGAGAGAATGTGTGTCTCTAACTGGGTGAATGCTCTTTTTTTCCTGTAAAATATACCAAATCTTATTTCATTTAAAAATATGTATGCTCAGAAGATTTGCAGCTCTTTTCTGCTTTTTACCTTCGTTGTCATCCTGTGTTCAAGCAGATGTGCAAGGCAGAGAATGAATGACACTGGTAATAAAGGCAAAGCAGGTTTTTTTATATTCAGTCATCTCACAGTGTAAGAGATCAATATTTTACTGCAGCTCATGTACAAGGAAAATGGAATATAGAAGTTCATAATACACACTCAGTTTTACTTAGCTAATGAGAACCATCCAAAGCAGTCTTAAAAATGCTGTAGTACAACACATTCCCTCTGGCAGTAGATAAATAGGGAATTCACATAAATTCAGAAGGAACAAATTGTAACGACTACATCAGATAAATGCAACATTTGGTTTCAGGTATGTAATCTTTTGAGGTGCATGTATTTGTAAGCTGCATTTGATGTGCAAACTTAGGGCAGGCACGCTTGGATTAAGGAATGACTACAGCGTAGGAATGTTATTGGGTAGTGTTTGCCTGAAACATCGCTGAGACTGACAGGAAACCCGCCCGTCCTTCAGCAATCCCCGAAATAATGAGCAGTATGATCCAGAACATGGGTATTGTGCAGCACTCGAATGCAAATCCTTGATCTCAGGTGTTTTCATCAGACTTGAGTTTTGGGGGATGGACATTGCTTGATGAAGCCATAAATTGCAGGCAAAAGAACAACAAAACACCAGCAAAGAAGAGACAGCAGCCTCAGGAGACTTCTGCTGTCTTAAGCTGTCATTTTCCTTATGAGAGAGGAAAAATACTCTGGAAGTGTAAAAACTGTAGATAAAGAAACTACTTTGTCAGTTGAAACCACCAGCAACATACTGAAATCAAAAGACGGTTATATAGTAGTGTATATATTTTTAAATTTTTTTTCAATTTTTCATTTCAGACATTAATATCTGGAGCAGTTGTTGAACAACTTGACTTCCTAAGAATCACTGAAACTGAAGAGTAAGGCTATGTGTAAATAGTAACAATGTGGTATTTGATAGTTAAAATATGTTCTGAACTGTGAAGAAATGAAATATTTATTTTTCAGGGCTCCTGTATTTAAGAGTTTGGAGGAGTTGGATCTCCCAAAACATTCAAAAGTCAAGAGACAGTCTAGTACTCCAAATGCTTCTGAACTTGAGCAGCAACCAGATGTAAATATTAATGACTGGAAAAACAAGTCAACATATGAGATCCTGCAGAAACTTAATGTAAGAAAACTTGATAAAAATACGGTGTAACTTCGTTCCTGGGAAATAAGAAATTCTGTGTCGATATTCTCTTTAAGAGCAGCCTACTTAGGTCAGCATTAGTGTCATGGTCAGTGTTAATAATGCAACTAATAACATAAAATGTGTGATATTCCTCTTCATACTCGGAGAATCTTCCTCTTTACAGTCCCTCATCTTAGCATCGCAGAACCCTCTGGCCCTTCGTGCTGTAACTGCTGCCTGTCAGTTGTCCCAGCTACCCCAATCATCTTTGGTCCTAAATGACCACTTAGAAGGGGACCCATTTGTTATGTGTCTTAGGAATAGGTACTTTATTCACAAACTGAAATTCAAAAGGCTTGAGTAGTGAGTATTCACTTGGATGGACTGCGAACCTCTTAATGACATCAAGGGAAAGTTCCCATCTGGTATTTTTCCTGTATATAGAGGAAAACTACCAATATCTGTTCTAGATCTAGTGTTTGATACAAACCCACAAAGTATTCTGCTTGGTTCCCTATGTCATTACAAGCATTTCTGCTGTAAATGAAAGGACCTGAGAAAGAAAAGTCAGGAAATGTTTCCAAGGTCAAATTATCACAACTTAATATGAAGCACAGAGAAGCCTCTGCAAGCAGCAGTGACAAGGATACAGCACACATAGTGTATGAAATAGTTGTGAAATCCCCTTAAAAACAACATTTGTAGACTTTTTCCTAAATTAAAAAAAAAAAAAGGCCCTTTGGCTGCACTTGAAATTTTTAATAGCTGTTCTGGTTTTGCTTCACTGAAAATCTGAAGGCTATTTGTGGTCTTGTTGTTGCTGGTTTTTTTCTTTTTTAAGGACTGCAATTGCCTAGCAAGTCAAGCGTTACTCTCGAGTATATTGCTTAAAAGGGAAGGACCGAATTTTATCACCAAGGAAGGTAAGAGCTTCTTTCATTTGACTATTCAGAGTATTTGAGGAAGCAGATGTATGTTTGGTTGCAATGAATGTGAATAATAGCTGTGCATGCCAGCAGTTGTGTAGCTGTTTTCTCTGCCATTTAAAGCAATTTCTGCATTAAATGGGACATGCAAATTCATAGCGTGGTAGGGAATGAGCTGCTGAATGTATGAACTCTTTTAGATTGTTTGTAGGCCAGTGCTCTATCTAGTTGTAATTTTCTGTGCATAGATTAAAAAAATAGAGGATCTGACCTTGTGTAGAAAACTCAAACTTAAGACAAGTCTGTATGTCTGTAACAGTATGAAATATATGAATCTATATACTTAATTTTTATTCTACTTTGATGTAATCCGACTTCAATGTATCTGTGAAACCTACTTTAATTTTTTATTATGGCTTTGTATTAGAGCACAGGATTTAAATTCCTGTAAAATAATTCTCAGAAGGCTACTGAGGCTCGTGGCCTTTGTTCTGCAAGTTTTGGTGTTTTGTTTTTTTCAAAGACTGCTTATTAGCTGCCTTTGTATATAAGAATACTCCTCAGAAAAAGAGGAATGTTCAGATCAAATAATATTCTCTTACTTATTCACCAAGGAGTGACTTAGCACCTCATGTTATTGAGCCCTCCTTAATTTTGGTGTCAGCTGAGTCTTGTGATGAAGAGTTGTCATTTTGACATAAGCATATATTATATCCGTATTGCTATATTAAAAATGTCATAGAATCGTGGAATATCCTGAGTTGGAAGGGACTCACAAAGTTAATCAAAGTCCAGCTCCCAGCCCTTCAAAGGACACCCCAAGAATCCCACCCTGTGCCTGAGAGCATTGTCCAAACGCTCCTTGAGCTCTGTCAGCCTTGGTGCTGTGACCTCTGCCCTGGGGAGCCTGGTCAGTGACCAACCACCCTCTGGGGGAAGAACCTTTTCCTAATATCCAGCCTAAACCTGCCCTGACTCAGCTTCAGGCCATTCCCTGGGGTCCTGTCCCCGGTCCCCACAGAGCAGAGATGGGTGTCTGCCCCTCCTCTTGCCCTCCTGAGGAAGTTGTCCCTGCAATGAGGTCTCCCCTCAGTCTCCTCCAGCTGAACAGACCGAGTGCCCTCAGCCGCTCCTCACACGGCTTCCCCGCAAGGGAAAGCCTTTGGATCTCTTCTTTGGGCACTTTTTAGTATCCTTCTTATGTTGTGGTGCCCAAAACTGCACTCAGTACTGGAAAACAATGTCAAGTGGAATAAAATTCATTGGCTGACGCCCAGTGTATTGTTGCAGGTTGTGATTGGAATCTGCACATTAGGCCCATGTAGCTTTTCTGCCAGTTACCTGTACTGTTGTCAGGTTTTGAGAGCCTCAGGAGCTTTCTTTTAGACCTTTGTAGGTTGTGTTCTTTGCTCTAGAAAAATCTCAAGGCAGATTTCCTAACCTCTGTAAGCAACCAACATTACCACTTAATGACTATTGGATCACTCTGTTGAAATCAGCTATGTAAAAAAAAAAAAGGTCAGAGGCTGTTGTGCCTCTGACCGTTCAGAACTAACTTGTAGAGACCTTTTTGTGCCATCCCACATGAAATGGTGCGTGATGATAACCTTTTTAATATGCACTTTGTATTAAACAGTCTGAGTCACTGACTGAAAGTTCCCTGCATCCTACGACTGGAGACTACCCAGAGTGACATTAAATAATCACACAGTCAATAAAACCTAAATCTAAAAAGAGAAGCAGAACCTTGGGTTCTGCAGTTTGAGTATGTACCTTATGATGGGATGTACCTTTTATAGGCCAAATCTGCATGTAGATTAATTTTCCCCAATATATAGCAAGAATGGGTGATATCATGAGCATCTCTATATCATAAGCAGCAAATTCAGCTGAAATCTGGTTTGGCTTCTTGCATAACAACATGCTGGGAGACAGGGGACTTGATTGCATCTAAATTTTAGATGTTAAGCATAATAAAAATATGCTTTACTAAAGCAGATTCAGAATTAACCGATCCCATAAAATTAACTTATTACTATTAAATGAAAACCTGTGCATCTTTTTTGCTTATGTTTTGTTTTGTTTTGTTTTGTGTTTTTTTGTTGTTTTTTTTTGTTAAATGCATTTAGGTACTGTTGCTGAGCATATTGAAAGAATCTATAGACGAGCTGGCAGCAGAAAGCTCTGGTTTGTATACACATAATCATGTTCCTTATGTTTTACACCATTTTTTTGTCCTAATGTGTTTATAGAAAGTAAGGCTGGATCCTTACACACTTAAAGGGGGAAAAATGACAGCTTTACTGACAAAATGATGTTGGTGCATGGCAGCTGAAGATCTGGTTTAATATGCTTCAAAAAATTAACAAATGTCTTCTTACTGTTATCTTCTAAAATAGAAAAGCAATAGGCTGGTTTTGCACTGAGTGCAAAACTGCCGATATACAATTCTCATTAAATTGAAATAATGAGAAAAAATTACTAATATTCTTACTTCTTACAGGGCATGATAAAATATTATCAATAGCTTTCTGTAGCAAGGCTGCTGATCAGATATAAATCAGTTAAACTGATACAATATAGATTTATTGCCCTGAATTAATTTGCTTTGAGCCTTACTTTGTCACAATAACTTTGAAAGGTTTTAGCAAACAGGTTGATATTTAAGTGTTGTTTATTAATTTCTTTGCACTAAAGCTCAGTAGAAATTTAATTTATTTTTATCAAAGAAATGAGTTGAGCCTGTCTTGAACTCTGTTCTCTCACTCTGTAACTACTCCTAACAGAGCAGTCTGTAAATATAAAACTGTTTTTCATTTTTTTTTGGTCTCTTCATACAGTTAAACGGGCCTTTGCCAATAATGAGGTAGAACCAAAATACCTTGGTGGTATTTTTTTGTAAATAATTAAAATCAAAAGTATTTTTAGAAACAAAATATGTAAACTATTTTTCATTTCTCTTCCATGATTGCCATGTGACATACATATAGGTTGGTGTTGCGCTACAGTGCTGCATTTGCACAGAAATTTTCTTCTTCTATAACCCCACATATTACTACTTTACTGGTACATGGGAAACAGGTAAAGTGCCCAGAAAGCTGAAGTGCAGCTCTGTGAGATTATTTTTTTGCTTATTTGCATTTTGATAGTATCAGCTAATGCATTTTTAAATGCTTTGCTCTTGACCTTAAGAAGTGTGTAGCAGTTTTCACAGGAATCAGCATCAACTGTTTGAGCTTTTACTAACACTATAGAATATTACAATTTGTTCCTTAACTCTGTGAATAAATGATTCTTAGTAGCCTCAAAACCTGTGCTAGAAAAGCTCAATTACAGGCCTGTTAGGTTTGTGTTTTGTCAGGAAATTATTATTAAAAGTATTTGTATCTTTAGCCATCAACTGCATATATGGAAAAATGTTTTTCTTAGAAGTTGCAGCTTGTTTTGAGCCTAGCAGGTTACACAGGTCTCTTCTTTTCATGTTACACATGCAAAATGTTACCTCAGCATGGAACACACAACAAAGCCTTGGTGTTACGTGTTGTACTTTCTCTTGCAAAATCTTTCTGACTCTTCCTTAACCTTGGTAATTTTTTAGTCTATTTATCTTGCAAAATGATGAAAATGTCTTAAAAGAGGAGCTGGCATCTCTTACCTGTCTGTTTTCAAGATGCTGCTGAGAAGAGAACAAGAAGCTTTTTATGGAGCTGGCAGTTTAATGAGTTCTAACGAGATATATTATTGATCCATCAACCTATATCTAGACTAAAAAATGAAAATCCGTAGAAGAGTACATAAAATCTGATCCAAATTCCACTTTATAAATACTGATGTATTCACTGAGTTAGTTTTGAGATCTCTGCTGTGGCAGACATTAAACTGCTATATGAATTCATTAAACTAGCTTGTGATATGTAGTGGGATTGCTCTGTTTTCTGCCCTCAGGTCTGTTGTGCGCTTCGCAGCAAGTCTTTTAGGTAAACTAGTGGACAGCCTTGCACCATCTATTACTAATGTTTTAGTTCAGGGCAAGCAGGTAAGTCTTTGCTCCTCAGAAATGTATTAAGGAATGATAACAGAGAAACTAAACAAATGACTTTTTAATTTTGAAGGCCTCTGATGCTTCTTTTAAAAGTCCCCAATGGCTTAAAAAATCTTTACTGAAGAAGAAAAATCCAGAGAAAATGAAGATATATTTAATAATTGCATATGGAATTGGCTAATAATTCTATTTCTAATCAGTGACAGAATGGGACTGAAAAGACAGTTCAGCATTTGGGTAAGAGGGGAAGAGGCATGATTTGCATGAAACTCTTTAGGTTTAAGGTCTCTGGGGAGGCCTTAGAGCCCTTTCCATTGCCAAAAGGGGCTCCAGTAGAGCTGGAGAGGGACTTTTGACAAGAACATGCAGAGACAGGACAAGGGGGAATGGCTTCAAAATGAGATAGGGTAGGTTTAGATGAGATATTATGAAGAAATTCTTCACTGTGAGGGTGGTGAGGCCCTGGCTAGGGTTGCCTAGAGAAGCTGTGGCTGCCCCATCCCTGGGAGTATTCAAAGCCAGGTTGCATGGGGCTTGGAGCAGATTAAGGTCCCTTCCCACCCAAACCTTTCTAAAATTTATATATATATAAATATATATATATTCTCCTATTTCACAGAAGTTTTGAAAGACTTCTTTAATGAAAATGTAGCCATCCTCTGTAATTGAACATAAGACAACACGTGGGTGGCAGCAGAGCAAAAGGTCTTTCAGGATTTTAGTATTCTGTTTCAACAAAGTTTAATCAACAGTGTTTCTTCCTTTCCTTACATCCTAAGGAGGATGTAATTTTTTTTTTTCCCCAGCACAATAATTTTAATTAAGTTCATGAATAACTGCTTCCAAATAATGCTAATTGAATATTTATGTATTTTTGTATTAAGTATGTGTATGTGTATACTTGCTTATATGCAATGTTGTTGTGACAAATTTGTCTTTGTCCTACTCCAGACTGAGGTTTAGGTTTGTGCTTCTGGCGCTCCACAGCTGTAGAGGAAACTGCACCTGTGTGCAGCATGATTTGAGGCTATTTGCAACTTTTTAACCTAACTTTTCTTCATTGACCACTTTATAACAATGGTCTTTATTATAGGAGAAAAACTAGTGTTGCTGTTTTACTGACAGCAGGTTAAAAACAAACCCGAATTCCGACAAAATTCCTTTTTTGTGGTTAAACAATCCGGTAGCAGCAATATGTTTTCTTAAAATGAAGGCTGTAACTTTTAGGATGCTATTAGAAATAAAAAACCAAAACTATAAATTTGATTTTGAATTTAAAGTGAGCTTCACAGCTGAAATGTATGAAATGACATACTGTCTAGACCTAATGTTACAGTTATGATTATAACCAAAGCATTTTTATTTTAATTTAGAAAAATATATTCCATATTTATTGTCGTCTTTAGTGAAGTTTATTACTTCAATAGCATCCAATTAACACTATTAACAAGCATCAGCCATTGACAAAAAATTATTTTGTATTGTGCAATTTTAACAAGCAAAGCAGAGTTGATGAAGTTGAATTTCTGAATTGCTTCTCCAGTGCTTTTATTCCTGTCTGTATCTTCTGAATTGTTTTCAATATACTGTAGGTGACACTTGGAGCTTTTGGCCAGGAGGAAGAAGTTATTTCTAACCCCTTATCCCCAGCAGTGATTAAGAACATAATCTATGAAAAATGCCATTTACAAGATGAAAGAGAAGCCGTAGTTCAGCAGGAACTTGTCATACATATTGGCTGGATCATCTCAAATTCACCTGAGCTGTTCAGGGGCATGCTGAAGATACGGATTGGGTCAGTAAAGTATCTCATATTGTTCTTTATTACTGCTGGTATTGCAGAACATACATGCTTCAGATGTATGCAGATTGTTGCTACACTGCAGAAATGGTTTATGTAAGATGATGCAGCAGAACTTGTATACTTCAGTTTTAGGAAGCCTGCTTTAAATTAGTTTGCCAAAACCAGGTGCACAACTATTCTCAAATTTGGCAGACAATAGTGTAAAGTGGAGGAGGGACAGTCCTTGTAATGGTCCATTTGGAGCGTTCCTACTGCTGATATGGTGAACTAGAGGATTTTTTGAAGCTGGATCCCTGTAACAATGGGCCTTAGTGGGGTTGGATGCTGTGGGATTCTGTTGCTGAAAATTAATTTTGTTCTTCAAAACCACCTCAAACCAAATACCCTCACTCTCCAGCTGAGCAGTATCCCTAGTGCAGACAACATACAACACTTCTTGACTGTTCATCAGCTGCCTGGTTGTCCAGTTCTATACTGAATAGGTTTGTCTGAGCCAGGAACCACAAAGCTGAATCAAGTTTAAAACATCATTTACCCAGTGGGTTGTTTAGTTGAGAAGGTGACCTACAAATAGTCTGTGCTGGAGCATTGTCATATTCCATGGTATCTGTATTTACTCTGCTATCTACAGGAGTTAATTATTTTTCACATTTAGGAAGAGACATGCATTTGAATAAGCACTTCTTTGAAGAGGCCAGGTGCTACTGAGATATACAGAATTAGTGAGCATGCTTTAAAAACCAGAACTTAAGTGTTCCATCTTCCATATTTTTTTTCCACAGAGAAAAATATAGCATTTCAGCACTGGAGGTAGATACCAGCAGCCTTTTTTCAAGCAGACAAAATTCATATTTCCACTTTAGCAGTACATTCTAGTCATCATAAAATCAAAAATTTTTCAAATGCCTGTATTAGATTTGACTGGAACACATCTATTCTTTGGCACTGAAATGCTTTTCTGTCCCCTCTACAGATCCATGTTACTCTTCTTTCCTCCCCCTCCTTATTCCCTGTATCTAGTCCTTTTTGCAATTTTTTTTTCTTTCTTCCAAGGTTAATGCTAGAGATTCAATTTCCTTTATTTCAGTGTTATCACCCACTCCAGTGAGCAAAATTAACCTTCTCACAGAAATGCCATTCCAGTTTGGTAATGATTTGATTTAGTGTCTTGTTATTGATTTGCTTTCAGGGTTTCATGTTGAAATAGATCAAGTTGCTGACAGGCCTATTACTGTAAAAACTCCCAACCTATGACTTCTACCCTTCTCTTATCAGTGAAGAGCTCAGTAGAAGGTCCAGTCTTGACTTTGCTATGGTTTGTAGGCCATTGCAAAGAGAAAATACTAGTGAGGGACTTACACACAGGCACATTTGAGTCCTCAGTGAGGAAAGGACAGATTCCCGAGCCAGTTGTGTTGTTAATAACAAGAGAAGGACACTATTCCCCTGCTAAAATAAATGAAAGTAGTATGTTCTGCATAATGTAATATGTCCATGTTGCCTAATCTTCTCTGGTGTCTTGCACCTCCAATGCATGGCCTTGGAAACATCAAATTTAAAGCAACATTGGATCAGCTGGCTGGACATCTCCTCATTGCCTGTAGTTACTAAGAATTTTTTAGAAAAGATTGTGACTTGACTTACATAAACACAGACATTCTGCACCTTGTTGGTTGAATAATTAAGTGACCGTGGAATGTGACTAATACTGATGACAATGTAGCTCCCTTAAGAATATGCTGCATTTTGGGATAATCACAGAAAGGCTCTTTGATGTAACCCAGACTTGATCAGGTGTTATATGATAGACTGTTTGAAGACAAACTAGTTAAGTTTCTTTTTCCTTTTGTTAGTAATACCTGCTTGAACTGATCCAGTGTAGATGGTAAGAGACTGAGCTCTGTGCTCAGTTATTTGGCTTCAAATGTATCTATACATTATTTCATCTTTTGATATTGCATTGGAGGCTGTAGCAGTAGTTTTACATAATGTGCAGAATAAAACTCAGCATTTTCCTTCAATACTTTGCCAAGGTCTGCCTCTCTGATACCTAAGGCTAAAAATCATCACTGTTGCCATATTCTTATTGAATCACATTTTTTCAAAAGGGAGTAGCAGAAGAAAGTGTGACAGACTGCAAAAAGGAGTTTCAAAGGCTAAAAGTATAAATAAGCCCTGAAGTATTTTTAAAAGTAAAATCTTGTCATTTTAATGGCTTTTTAAAACTCTTTGGCAAAATGCATATATTGTCAGAGCCTAATTTTGAATAAGAATTTTAACATCAAAAGCCAGGTAAATGTTTGTCTTAATGAACATGGGATGTAGGGCATGAAGTCAAATCAATTTTTTGCAGTCAGTTTTTTTAGTAGTCAATTGCAATCAATTTTTTGTAGTCAAATCAAATTCTACTATGGAAAGCACGCTCCACAACACATTTCTTAAAATATATGCATTATCCCTTTCAGTTCATATCATGTTCCAATCCAACAGTACGAGTAGTAGAGTCTGATATTTTATGCATGTCCTGACAGCTAAATAGAAGGATCATGTGGAATTCTTATGAGCTATTTTATTAGACTAATTTTTCATATTTGGAAACTTTGTATTTAATTAGTAAATATATTCCTTCCATTGCTTCAGATGGATTATTCATGCTATGAAATATGAACTGAAAATCCGTGCTGGGGATATGCCAGCCAAGGACTTGTACCAGATGTCCCCTAGTGAAGTGAAGCAGCTTCTGCTGGATGTCCTTCAGCCACAGCAGCCGGGCAGGTAATGAGATGTGGGGGTTTGTGGCACCTGTTTTCACTCATAATCCACTGTTCAAGTGAATTTAGTTTCTGAACTGCTTTGCACACCCCTGAAATCACCAGGCATCTGTAATCAGTCATATACTTATTTAAGGAAAGGTAGGAAAATGCACTTTTTCATTCTTTTGTATGTGTCCAGGTTCCACAATTGTTTCTTTTATATTGCATGTTCCTTTTTCAGCTTTATCTTTGTGGAATTCTCTTTACCGCCACAGAAAAGAGATCTGTCTACTGTAAAATGAAGCATTACATTCTTTGACGTGGGGAAAGGAGCCAAAAATTACCCAATAACCTCTACTTAAGTAGCTTGTCTGCTGTTCAGTGCCCCTTTCTTCTGGGTTATTAAATGAATTAAGAACAGATGTTCTCTAGAATTCTTGAGAGAGTGGTACTGCCTGAAACTTGCCATCTTTTCTCCAAGCTGTAATCAGCTGCCAAAAAGAGCATTCACTGTGATACAAAGTATGCAAGACAAAAGTTAAGATTACAATATTTCCACTGAACTGTATTGATAAGAGTGAAGTCAAAACTCTTCCTTTTGGTTTTACTTCAAGTTAAATTAGATTAATCTTTGGCACATAATACAGCTGATAATTTCCATAGTCCTTGACTGAATGGATGATGGCCTTATCTCTCAACAAAGAGGAAATGCACAACACATCCTATTACTTGTGCTTCATTCAGAACACATCTGTTTTTTTCCCCAATCTGTAATGCCTGAGAAACAAGTTCCATAAATTGGTGTCTCATCTCTCAGTCCAACTGGCCATGTACTATATCTCCCATGTGCTTTTCAGTGTCTTGGTTGTGTTTATTTAAATTCTTGTTTTTTAGTTGCTCTCTCCACTCACGTTAATGCTGACATTATTCCCCTAAAACTGTAGCAGAACAACCCCTAGTCTCTCTTTGCAGCTTTTTCCATTATGTATTAGGCTATTTAGGAAACAATTTGGTCAATCACAGTAAGCATTTCAAGCACCATCCATCATTAGAGATCTTACCTGAATTGCCACAGCAGCTTCTGCCTTTGATTGCTGTAACACAGGATAGATAGGTCAGTAAAGAGCACTCAGATGGATTTTCTGAGGATGAGGATTCTTTCTGGGGCTTATCTGAGTACAAAAGCTTGCCAGCATATCCTTCAAAACTTCCTATCTTTAACTTCTTCCTGTACAGAATTATAACTTGTTTTTCCTTGCCCATTAGTGACTTGTTTTTAAAAGTTCTCTTCCTGCCAGGAACTACAGAACACTGTCTCCTTGCCTTTTTTTTTTCGGTGACAGTTTTTCCTACTCTTGTGATCTTTAGAAAAAAAATCTCTTCTAGTGTGACACCATATCTTGCTGCCAGTTAATTTGTCATAAAGGAAGGGCTAATGGTCTATTTACCTCCCCAACCAGTCTCTCCACCACCAACCTCTCTCCAAGTTTTCACAGAGGGTAAAATTTTTGCAATTTTCCTACCTCTTACACAGGGCTCCAGGATATGATACCATGTAGATGCATATATTACATATCTCACCAACAGAGTGCAGACTCCATAGATACTTTGAATCTATTTATGTAGGTTACAAGATTGCAGGTAACCTTTTTTTAAATGAAGCATTGTTCTTTTAATTGTCCAAATGGTTGTAAAACTAATTTTGCTTTTTCAGTTTACAAGACTGTCTTCCTTGCCAGGGTAATATGTATAGGTCAGAGTGTTTTTGACATCTTCAAGTGCTTCTTTCTTTGAATCAAGAAAACAACCTCTTATTTCTACCACCACTGGTCTTTCTGCTTTTATGGAAGTTTTCTTGTCCTAATCCAAGGATAGAGCTGTACAGAGAGTAAGATGGATCTATCATAGTAGACACAAGTTTTTGGCAGTTGAGTGACACATTGCTGGTGTCTCAAACTCTGTGGCTAAAGCCCCGTTGCTGTAATAATATTGTGAAGAAAAAATAGGAAAAATAAATTCCAGACTTGATGGATGTAAGTGAAAGAGGGTGTGGACAGTACGCTTCTGAAGACAAACAAGATTTGTGATTTATGGCGAATGTAACTCAGTTTGTTCAAAGCTTTAGTTCAACAAAACCATTCTGTTGAATTTTCTAAATTTACAGGCCACTTGTTTTCTACACACCCCTACCTTCAGCAATTCTTACCTTTCAGCAAAAATTTCTGCTGAAATACGTTCTTCTAATGTGATTAGACATGATGAATTCGATCTGCTGCTGTTATTGGACTACCCTGGATAGATTTCACAGTTAATTCTTTTTCTCCAGTTACATAAAACAAACACACACCTAAGAATAACATTCTGATCTCTGCAGGCTGAGCATCTTTATTGTGTTTGTTTGGAGTGACCCTCACCTGAAAGCACATGTACTGCATGTGCATATTGAGATGTATTTGATGGCACTGCTCACCTTACTGGCTCACAGCACAGAACATGGCTTTGTTGTGCCTCTGTAAGAGGTTTTCACGTGAGGTTTCCCCCTGTCTGCCCCCAGGAGCTGGCTGAACAGGAGGCAGATTGATGGTTCCCTCAACCGAACTCCGGCCGGGTTCTATGATCGGGTGTGGCAGATCCTCGAGAGGACCCCCAATGGTTTGATAGTGGCAGGGAGATTCCTGCCACAGGTAAAATCAGCAGAGATGCTCAGTTATTTCTGTTCTACCTGAAAATGGTGAATTATTTTGTCATTAATATTTATTTTATGTCACGGTGTTTTACTTGTTCCTGTTGTAACTGAAAAACAGAAAAGTGTTTTCAAGTTCTTTTTTTGGAGGGGGGGAGTAAAATACTGTTAGAATAGAATGGAAGCCAAGTATTTCTATTAATGCACACTGATAAAAGCATAAATCTAGAAAACTCTTTCCAAATCATGGACTCTGAAATCTGCTCCCTTTTTGATCCTACATTGGTCATATTTCTTTGTTGAGTAGGATTCAACAAGTAAACAGGCCCTACCTGGGGGTGGGTTTGATTTAATGCATATGGTCTTTGAGTAACAGTATTATTTATCTTTCAGCAACCAACCTTATCGGATATGACGATGTATGAAATGAATTTTTCCCTTCTGGTTGAAGATATGCTGCAAAACATCGACCAGCCACAATATAGGCAAATTATTGTAGAGGTCTGTGGCCAACAATTAATGAAATTTTTATAATATGCATGAGTGTGTTACAGCCTGAAGGAAAAAAAAATAACCCAGACTCAAATATCTCAAGAATTAGCAATTTAAATTTAAAACTTGCTTCAGTGGTTTCTCCGTAGATTGTTTATGATTAAACAGGTTCTGTTAACATATTCAGAATATACCAAGTTCTAAATGTTCTTCCCCTCTACAAAATATTAATGACAGTACCAATGCAATTAGGTCACAGGAGGTAAAAACTAATAAGGAGTAATTCCAAAGTATCTTTCCTTCAAGTCCCTAGCCCATGCCTTTTCCTAACAATTTTCTAGGTCTAGCCAAAACTGCTCTAAAATAATCTGTTTGCCTTCCAAAGGATTCTTCTTTCCATTTTTGCTGAGGCTGCTCTAATAAGTTGCTTTATATTAATGAATCCAATAACTTCCCATTTCCTCATGTTCCTGTACCAAACAGTAAAGCAAGAGGCTGTTTAAACTCCCTCCCCACCACTGCACATAATGTTTGCTTTTGGAACAGACCAAGAGCACCTGTACCATTGGTAGCTGACACTGGTGTTGTCAGCAGCACTCACTGTTAGTCCCCAGGTATGTGCCCCTGGTGCTTGAGTATTGCTCCACAGGAAAATCAAATCCCTCTGCCTTCTGGCTCACAACTAATGGCCAGGCTGGTGGTTGGAACATCCCCAATTTTTGCTAAAAAATACCAACATTACCAAACCAAACATGGCCAGTACAGACTCCACTGCCCACTTGTACGTATTTCAACAGGACACTTGTCATGCTCACCTTCCTATTTTAAACCTCTTTCAGATGTAAGAAATGTAAACTCTGAAGACCTGAGACTTTATTGATGTTTATGGACCTTGGTTTTTATAAACTTTGTCAAAGTATGACATATAATCTGTAATTATGCCTCAAAATACCAAATGCTGAGGTTCAGTGTTTGCTGCTTTTCGCCCTCTCCACTGTTTGAGCACCAGCATTTGTGCAGCCACACAGTGAACTGAATAAAATGGAAAATAACTTCCCTGGCTCCCAGCCAAGTTAGATGTTATTGTCAATCATTTACACAGTGCCCTTAACTAGGTAGTCACCAGCAATTGTAACCTTTCATGAAAGCCTGCTTTTCCAGTGATTCTTTTATCAAAGTCAGAATTCTATTATCTGTGCACTATTACCTGTGCCATTATTAAATGGCTTCCTGCTTCAAAGAGGCATATGCAATTACCAGCAGTGCTGTTATGTAACCTGAATTTTAAAAAATCAAATTTAAAGTCTTACAGTCTTTTTCTGCCTTCTAGTTGCTGATGGTTATATCTGTAATTCTGGAGAGAAATCCTGAGCTAGAGTTCCAAGACAAAGTGGACTTGGACAAAGTGGTGCAAGAAGCATTTCATGACTTTCAGAAGGATCAGAGCAGTCCAAATCAAGTGAGTAAAATATTGCTGTCTTACAGAATTTACCATTCTTACTGAGGTTATAAATGCTAATTCTGTGCAGTTCAGAGTAAATAACAATTGATAGGAGTTCAGAATGGAACACAAATAAGAAATTAGTATACCCAAGTGCTGTCTAAGCCTGCAAAGAGCCTGTAAAGCAGAGATGAAAGAGGTACACTTTGTTGCTGAATTGTAAATTCAAAATTTTAGGGCAGGGAGAACACTCAGTGTTACATAGCTCTGAAATGGGAGTCTGTGTTAAGCTGGGAAAGTTGCTTATTAAAGGGGACAGAATTCATTAAGAGGGACACTAGAACAGAAAAGAGTTAAAAATAAGAAAATAAAAAACCTGAAGCTCAGCATGGAAGTGTGGATTTAAGATCTTATGTACACAGATACTAAGAAAAATTTAGTAACCAAAGAACTCTTTTTGACTATATTAATGTAAGAACTTGAAATACAAAACTGTTCTTAGTTACTGATTTTTGTGCTGGAGCTGCATTCATGACCTAGCAAGCTTTTGATGTCTAAGGGTTAAAATTCAAATGAATGAATAAATGCTTCTAATATTTGCTTCACTAGAAGTGTAGGGTTTATGCTTTAGAGACCTTCAAATATACTACAAGTTTTGGTGCCTCAAAGCTCTGAAATTCTGTAATAAAGCCAAGTTTATTGAACTGTTAAAGGAGGAAATAGGAATAAAGCAGTGGCACAAGTCCCTGTGCTGCTGAGGATGATCTTCCTCGCTCTGTCTGGCATTTTATTGTGCCCAATATATTTGAAAATATCTGTGCTAGCTCTGAAGAATTATTGATTCATAACATTGACATGCAACAGCACTTCCTCTTGCTGAATTTAGCTCCTTTAAAAGATGAGGAAGGATATGCTCCTTAGGAATTCTTTCAAATGTTTCAGTGTTCACTCTTTTGCCACTAGTTTTTTGTAATAAGGTTTGAAAGCAAGCCACATATCCAGCCTCAGCAACATGTCACTTTGCATAGTACCTTTGCTTATACAAGAACACAATTTTCTTGAACTTACAATTCTTTTGGCCCATTTTGGAGGGTAATGACTCTGTGGCCGTTTCAAAATCACACATAATCCACACAAAAGGCTATTAAGTGCCAGCTCCACACTGGATCTCTGACTTCTTGTGACAATCTGCAAATCCCCAATAGCTATAAACAAAGAAAGATTCCATGCAAATCCCAGTTTTTACTGGTGCTGCCCTAGCTTCCATTGAAGTGATGGATTTTTTTCCCAAGGCCAGATCTACTTAGAATGATGCCTTTTTGACTCTTAGAAAGACATCCCTATTTATAGTTGTGAATAGTATGTTTAAGGTTGTTGTTGTAAATTCCAGCTCCTTACATGTAAATTTTCTGGAATCTGCCTCTCCATATTCCCAGGTGTATGCCTGCTGGTAGCTAACTGTATCCTATTTAGGATTGTTCTTATGATGTTCTGTCTCAAAGTTTCCTAAAAAACACTGCTAAAACCTCCTAATTTGTCTGAACTGTGGTTTTTCATAAAACCGCCTTGCAAATATTTTGATACTTCCTAGTTCCCTGTTAACATGTAATAAATGTCAAAAGTATTTACTCCAGTAATTTCAAACACACCTTAAAACTTCAGCAGTCTAATATTTGCACCACACAATCTCTGCCCTTGATTTAATAAAAGTAACCAGTTTCCTGAATTAAAGTGTTGAACCTTTATATAGCAGCTAATATATAATTTGAGAATAAACAGATGTTTTAACATCATTAACTGTGAAAAACAGGTGTTGAGTGAAGGACACCTATTTTGGTGAACTGATTAATGAGTTAGTTCATGTGGTACCTGTGGTTTGGATTTTGGATTCTTTTCCTTCTGAATAAATCTTCAGTCAGTGTTGTATCTCCATGTACCCCCAAGGCTCTGGCTCACACTTGTGCTGTGGCAGCACAGTGAGGTCCCACAGTCAGCATCCAGCTGCATGTTTCAGGAGAGCAGTTGTTCTCTGACAGCTGTGACATTTAAAAAAATATTAAGAAGGTGGTATCTGTATAGTCCTGGAAAACTCAATGAAGAAGTAGATGCCGTAAATCTTAGTAATCTGTTCTGCACATGCCAAGGTAAGTGTAATGGGAGATTTCTGAAAATTGAGCAGAATTGTTTTGTAGCTTTAGACTCCGAAAAACCACATTTGTGTTTCTGCCATCTTTGTGATGTTCCTCTTGTAACCCTGTGTTTGGCTGCTTTCCACAGTCAGCACTAATGGCAGCATCTTCTCCTTGTCCTGCAGAATGACATGACTGCTTTCTACAACACCAGCCCACTTGGGAAGAAGGGAACGTGCAGCTACTTGAGTAAAGCTGTGATCACCTTATTGCTGGAAGGGGAAGTGAAACCAAGCAATGATGATCCCTGTACCATCAGCTGAAGCTTTGAAACACAAAAAGGATTTGTTGCTTTACTTAGTGTTCTATGTATTTTTCAAGCATATATTAAAATACTGTTTTGAAGAGTAACCCTGGCTAGCAATACAAATGCATATTATCCTTTGCTGAAAGAAGTGCCATTAAAGATACCAAGTGCCACCTAATTTTTTTCTTTCTCAACTATGCAGCATGTAACTGAGCACATGAAGTTAGTGCGATGATAATTGGTGAAGTTCAATAAGAATGTATTTATGATCTTAATTATGCACTTAATGTAGCTGGTTAACTTCAAAAGAAAAGCAGTTTTTGTCTTTATACCTCTATTTATTTATAATTACAAACAAGTTTATTGTAAATTCTAAATGAAATTCAGAAAATACCATAATTAACGTGCATACCAGTCAGTATGGAAATACAAACACTGGATTATTTTCTTACTATTTTACACACGAATTGTAGCTGAAGGTTAAAGAGCTGTTATTCATTCAAGGTTTTCTGAATCAGTTAAATTGACAGCATTCTTTTAAGGTGTTTTTTTTTAATTTACCAATTGGTAACTTGATATACAGGTTTCATCCTAATAGAGCAACTTTTTATCTCTAGCAATACATATCATTGCAGTTTCCCAACTGTAGTTTAAACATGTGCAAGTTAACAAGGGAAATGTATGGTAACAAGATAAAAGTTTGTATTAAAAAAAAGGGCAAACAAGCTGTATTTAAAATTAACGTCAATGAAGAAATAAGTTTGTATTACATATGCTACCTTTGCATTAAAAAATTCAAAATCCACTTATTTATCTCCTAAATGTGCGAAAATACTGTATGCAATATGCTTTATTTTGGTGAAAAAAATAAAAAGCAAATGCTTGTAAAAAAACCTGTCAATAAAAATACTTTAAGTGACATGCAAAGAGACTCCTGTTGACTTTAGTGGCAACTTTTGACCTCCTAATTAATGATGACCAGTGCCAGCTCATCTGTGAATCAGTTGTTGCCATATTGATGTCAAAGGCAGGTAGTTTAACTTAGAGAGAGAGGGGCAAAGCTGACGGAGTCACAGTCTGGGCACAAGAGGATTTATTTGAATACTCTTGGGCAGTGGTTAGTACTGCCCTGATGTGCAGAACCTCCTCAGAGAATTCACAGCATCAAGCCTTCTCAAACCATAATGGCACCAAACCCTTAACAAATCTTCTCTCAAGTGCTGTGGAGAACGAATAAGGTCGAAAAAGCTGATTTGGGGCTATTAGAGTAGTGGTCCTACTGCTCTTCCTTGCTGTAATATGTTTCTCATTCAAAGCATGGTGGAGAGGTGGCAGGGGGGACAGGGAGGAAGGTCCAGGAGAGGCAGCCCCGGTTGCTCAGTGCTGGGAGCAGCCCTGCAGTGTCAGCCCCGGGGAGCAGCTGCGAGGAGGTGCCAGTTCACCAGCACGCTCTGCTACCAGCAGTGCAAAATACTGAAGGAGCCACTGGCTTCAACAGCAGTCCAACATATCCTCCAATTTTTTACTTCATTGCTGTCCTAGGAGTTACCAACTGCAGTAAATTCCACTTGCCCTTTTCTTTATTTAAGTATTGCTTGCAGCTCTGGAGCTGGGCGTGGCTCAGTGATTACACGGGTAGCAAACACATCTATTTCTAGAGGTTTTAAAAATATTATTTGAAATTGATGCATATCTTGCCATACAAATATACAACATAACTCTTGTCTACAAACTGTAAATCCTGTTGAAAGGAAACAGTCCTTTATCTACAAAACCTACAGATTACTCCAGGAGCACTGGCAGTTCCTTACACAGTGGCTCTAGTTTTGGCCTTACAATTGCTTGTAATTTAAAATGTTAATGCACTTTAATTCTTAACACTTCTTGCTACTTCTCTTTTGCTCTTACTCTATTAAAACCTCAGTTACTTGTAAGCCTTGGATTTGCTGATCTTGGGCTGACCTTTATAACTGCAAATGAATGAAAATGCCAGTCACTGCTTTTCCTTATTCAAACTTGGAATGAAAATCCATGCAAGCTATTTTTGTTTTCCTTTATAGCCTTGAAAAAATAGTTTATGAAATTGTGGTTCGACAATTTTTCAGCTTCTACAAAATAAGGATAGATTAGAAGATGAAGATACCAAAATTCAGCAGAGTCCACATTCTCTGAAAAAGGTTCTTGAGTCTGGAAGGACAATACCATTAATTTTTCTCTTGATGAAGTAGGAACAAGACAGGAGCTTGACACAAATGGCTCTCACATAGCTTGCCTATAAAATTATAGTTCCATAAGATGAGATGATTGGAATAGAAACAACAATTTCTACTAAACAATTTTCTACATTATACAATGTTTGAAATCACAGAGGGAAGATAAGCTTTTATGAGAATAAAGAGGGCAGCAGAAAATAGAAGGTAAATCAGATGGTTTTTAAACAGACATAGGTCAAGTAACGTGTGGTTAGTATTTAATAAACTTGGTCCTAATTTCTTTGAAAACATTCTGCCTCAAAAAGGCAAGGAAAGAGATGTATTTGGGGTTGCAAATTAATAACTGCAGGTGCAGCAGTCAATACAGTGCCCTGTGTACTGACAAGAGCTGCTGGCAATAGTTTCTCCAGCCATTAAAGAAATAAGTCCCAAAGGGTTCAGTGTTGATTCACACCATTTGGTTCCTTATTATACACCTTCACAGTGCTCCAAAACTTGAAAAACCATTCTGCTTTCAAGGGGAAGTAGGATCCATTAAAACAATGGGAAAACAGTAGTTGAAAAAGGTTAAAGTTTAGCTATTGAGTAAAAGCAGGGGGTTTTTTCCAGGTTCCTCTATCACATACTCTTGAGAAGAAGACCAAACTATTTCAGCTGAGCAAATCACAGAAAAAAAAAAAAATCCCTTTTTCCTCTGCCATTAGAAAGAGGGGAAATACCAACTTGCAGTGACAACTCCTGGTGTAAAGACACATAAACCAACCCCCCCTCTTCACCCTCAAACTCAGTCACCTTCAGATTTGTCAAAACCATTGTCTTCACACTGTGGGTTACTGTGACAGTTAATAGGTGTCATGTTCACAGCACATCAGACATTTCAAACTGCTCTAGTCCTCTGCAGAATTCAGAAGGTAAGAAGTTGACACATGCAGTTCAAGGCTTTCTTGGCATTTTTACTGTTTGCTTTGTTGCTTCCCTCCATATGACTTTTCAGCCTTCCTTGGCTTACAGATCAGTTTGTGCAAGTGACACAGAAAGGAAACAGAAAAAAATAGACAACCAGGTTAATAATAAATAAATCTCTGAGAAATCCTTTTCATTACTTGCTAATGCACCATAACAGAAAACATAGTAGGAGATCCTGATTTGAACAGGTTTTTGTTGGATCAATCCAAACGTGGTGCTGTCGCAACACTCATGGGGCATTTTTCTGAATAATGTTTTGTCATCAAGGTCTATCAGCAAGCAGTGTCTGATGACAGCAACGTTAGGGTTAATATGATAATATCACAGAGAAATCACAGAATATTCTGAGTTGGAAGGGACCCACAAGGATCAGAGTCCACAAGGATCAACTCTTAAGTGAACGGCCCATACAGGGATCAAACCCAGCACCTTGGTGTAATTAGCACTGTGGTCTAACCAGCTGAGCTAACATCAGGATCATCATTCTGCTTTTGTAATTTAGGTCTTCTATTTTTTGTTTTCACTGCTATTTAAAATACTTTCTTAAATCTTGCACACAGAGTTCATGAAAATAAATTCCTCAAGAAACGGTCATCGTTCACAATCAGCATCATTCTATATTTATGTACCTCCTGCGGTTTTCAGGAAAGTCTACCTGCTTTACCAATGGCATTTTTAAGATTCAAAATTGTCCTTCTGTAAAAATGCAGTACTAATATCACTGAAAGACATATTTAATGAAAAAAACCCAATGACATAGTCACAGTATGTACCTTGAAGATACTTTGTATGCTAGTTTGTAAGAGGAACAAAATAAATGGTACCAAAGGAAGTGGGAGTGGTGAGGCAGTCTAATGCTTAAAACATAAATTATAAAAATACTGGGATACAATTAATTCCACTGAAGCCTCTATATTTCATCCCAGAAATCAATCAAGAGAACGACTTGATTGAATTTTTAGATAATTACTATCCACAAAACCCCTGCCAGACATATTCTCTTCTCCAGAAGCGTGACGGTCTTTTAAGCTAATGAACTAAGGCTTGCAGCATGGGAAGAGAAAATTAAATAAGCAAGAAAATCTATGCTCTGCCCTAAACACAAAATGAAACAGTGCTGTAAAACACTGCTGAGAGCCTAAAGGAAACATGCAGGATTACACACTGTCCATACCTACTCCTGCTCCTGTCACAGGGTTACACACTGTCCATACCTACTCCTGCTCCTGTCACAGGGTTACACACTGTCCATACCTACTCCTGCTCCTGTCACAGGGTTACACACTGTCCATACCTACTCCTGCTCCTTTCACCTCGATTACGAGTCATGGCTTGTATGTGTGTGAATATGGGGAGAAGGTAAGAAGGAAACACAGCAAGGTCTGAACTAGAGAGAACTTAAAGAATTTCCCCTTGGTGTTGTGGTCTTGTGTTTTTGTGGGTGTTTGTTTTGTGGGAGTGGAATAAAGAAGCTGTATTCTTTTCACTTGCCTATGCAGCACTCTGACATCAGGAACCATAAATGGGTTTTCTCCACCTGAGCATGCTTTTCCTTCTGCACATTGGCAGGAGCTGGAACAAAAACAAATGCAGAAACACCAGATACAAGGAATGTAAAACCTACATGTGGTGGGTCTTTCCTGAATCAGACAGAATTCCCTAAAAGGCTTGCAATGGCTCCTTGTGTAAGAATTCTGTAACAGTGCGTGTTTCTGACAAGGGAAGGGGAAAAGGAACTAAATGACTCCCCTCTTCACTTAAATACACAACTGCTACTTTTTTCAGATCAAGTAAAAAATCTTGTCTCTTATTTCCTAAAATAACAACCTTCTGAGACAAAAGAGATGTTATTTGGAACAATGGTTCCTGCTAGTGCCAGACAGGATTAATCCCACCTGAGCCTTGTCCCTATGGGCAAGTGCCATGAAGCTTAGACAGCCTTTTCAGAATGCCACAGCTGGTGTTTCTAGGAAAGAAGTTGAGGTCAAACAGACAGGGGGAAAGGGTGACATCATACACAGGAAAGAAAAGTTACGTAGGAACTGCTTCTTACTTAATTTTCACATTAGTGAAACTATCAAAAGAAAGGGGTATGGCGGTTCTATGCCTTGGCACATCAAGAAATCCACTCAGGTTCAAGTGCACGTAGGAAGAGAGGACCTTGTGTTGGTTTACATCTGTACATGACCACAGACCTAAAACTTGCACATCACTCCATTCTGGTAGGAAACACACAGTTTACTAAAAAGTAACTCATGAGAAAATAATTGATGAAAATACCCCCAAACCCCACTTTCTACCACATCACTGAAGAATAATAATGCATGTATGTCCCTCTGGGTTATATTCCAGAAACTAAAACATATAATCTAATTCCTCCTTGAACTGGACTGGTACTGAATACAAGCATCTCAAGCTCTTGGTCTGCTTATTGAAGGCTCCTGTATCAGTACAGCAACAGGGCTGTCAATGAGCCAGGCCAGTAAACGTGAAATTACTGGTATTGCTGGTGTCTGAGTCACCTGGCTGCACTTCACACTCTCATAGATGACTAATCTGACTTAAGGGCAAGCAAACCCAAAATTTATCTGTTTCCCAGGGACAGGCACAGCGTATTTAGTTAGGTATGCTACACAGTTGAACTTGAATTTCCTGAGGATAAATTATGCTGCAAAATTTATAAAGGAAACAATAATATGCCTAGAGAAGACTGTCTTTTTTAGCACATTCTCTTAACC